CACACACACACACACAGTGCTGACCAAAATACAGACACAGACAGATATGTGGACTTAACCGTGGGAGGCCTGATGTACAAAAAAATATTATAAATTGAAAAATGCCAGAACAACAGAGCCAGTTGAGGCACCAAAAATGCGAGTGTGTGTGTGTGTCTGCGCATAAAGATGATTAATGAGCAGAAGAGCGATGCTGTTTGTTTAAGAGTTGTACTGCGGGCAGCATGACGGGCAGAGGGGGATTGTGGGAAAATTCTATGTAATGTATATTCAGAACTATCAAGCTCATCAGGGTGAACATGTGCCACTGCATCTAGGGTAAACAGAGTGTGTGTATGTGTGTGACAGATTCATAGACAGAAATAAGGAGATAAAAAGGAGACTGTGTGTACTTTAGTATTGACTAAACAGAAGGAGACAGGGCAGAGATTTGTGTCGGTCTGTGTGTGGTATGTGATCTGAAGGTGACAGATGGCGCTTGTCGCAGCTTCAGCAGTCGCAAACCGTTTACCCAGGAGGCATTGCTCACAGGGTTTGTTTTGATGAGGAGGAGCACCAAAAGGAGATCGCATTACCACTCACTCATCGCTCTCACATGGCTCGGCCAAATCTCCCCCTTTTCCCTCCCCCTTTCCTTCTCTATCCAGATTGTCTATCTCCTACATGAAGTACAATAAACACACCCACTGCTTTATTCACAAACACACTTCTGCGCTTCCACTAAGATAAACACACATTTTGTTGCTTGTTCCTGCTCTCCCTCTAATACACACACATTTTTCCTGTCACACACTGCAGAGGCTGTGTAGTCGCTTCCTGTGCATAGAGAGGGTGCTGACAGATGTGGAGGTAGTAGTGTGAAGGAGACATGGATCGGAGAATGAGCTTGATCGGGGAAGGGGGGGGAGGCAGGTTGTATCTGTGGCCAACACTGACAACTGCAAGATCCCCCGCAAAGATCTGCCTCAACACTGATAACAGCAGAAAGAAGGTGTGATAGAGAGTGAAAAGTTGGGACAAATTCTTAAAAGTGGGGCCAAGAGGTCAACCTCGAGGTGAGATTTTGATAAGCAGCTTCTGTTTTCTCTCACGTGCAGGTTACGCTTTCAAACAGGCCCACATGCATAAAGAAGCTGAGCCAGCGTGAGTTATTTTAAGTGCAAGATCAGTGTTGCTCTGAAGACAGTGTCGCTTTCATCCACACCGACCACCAGTCACAACCAGAGCTCTCTGAAGTTTACCGGACTGACAGGCATAACTGTGACACCAAGTGCATGAGAATGTTTCTTGTCTTACCTCCATGGGTCCAAATGTAAATTCAAGTTATCGATGTGATGTTAATAAGAGGATACTGAATAACTGATCTGATTATCTGTTGTATGATTACTGTATTTTGCGTAAAAGGGGATGTGAATTCATTATTCCTTTTTATAACTGGGTTTTGTTGCGGCAGTTTGTCACATTGTTTATTCTGTCTCATATTTGCTGCGTTGCATTTACACCCACTTGAAAGTGCGCTACAAACACCACAGGCTCTAATGCACACTGTAGATCATGCACTCATCACATGAAAAATTCCACTCACGACACATGGTTTATGTTTCATGTCAACCAGCTGTCCCTCTCAACTTTCCGATCTCTGTGTGCCATATAGGAATGTGTTAGTACAACCACTTTACTAAAGAACCCTTTGAACGAAAATAACATATTCAATCTTAAACCTCTTCAACAGTAATAACTCACCACCCCCCCCTTGGAGCTGGTACAGATTCAAAAACTTGCTCAAGGACACGGAGCGGAGCGGTTGCCATTACTGTGTATTGAGGCCAGGCTTCACAGCTGAAGGATGGAAGCCCTACTGCACCAAGTTTAATGGAAAGTCTTAATCTGAATTTGGCAAATTGGTAAGTCTAAAACTGCACCACACAAAATCATATTAAGAAAACTTTTAGCTATGATTACTCTAATTTTGTAGTCTTTCCCCCTCTAAAAATGGGAGAAGGATTTTAAAATGCCATTGTGAGAGAAACAGCTTTTTAAACTTACTTTTTTTAGTTCTAGTTGCCATCCACTTTAATTCAAACTCTAGATGACAGAAAGATTTGTCTGAAAAAATAATAACATTGCAACACGCGATCAGCTCACCACAGTTGTCCTTGTTTGTACTGGAAGTCCCATGTATAGACAGCACCTTTCAGCCATAGCCTAAATCCTTTATTACAAGTCCTTCAGCCATAGAAGAGATTTTTCATGCTTGAAAATATTCCTAATGAAAGGGATTAGGAACGTTTTCTAGCATGTAGGTGCAGAAATAGTCTAAGACCTTCTGATAACAATAACTCGTCTTATGTGCTTTTGTACCTACTGTTAATCTCTGCAGTGGAGTTCTCCAAGGAAGACAGGCGTAACACTATGACGGCAATTAAAGCTTATGGACAAGAATTTCAAATATGTTTAAGCAATAACAGCAGGGCAAAAAATATTGTAGAAACAATTTTTTTTTTATGTTATCAGCTGTTAGAGCCAAATGTTTCATCCTCCGACCCAGACTATATTGACCAGACAGCAGTTAGACATAAATCTGTTTGCTGGAAAAGTACAGTATGTGATCAAACATGAAGACCGGCTGTCCAATCTTCCAAACCATATTACGAATGATCCACTCTCAATGCTAACTGTATTAGCTTTCCCCCTCTTGTACTAAATACATAGGCACTCCTAAGTACCCTTATTACCCTAACATTAAATGTTCATCCTGTCCAACTCACTTTACTCAGCGTCTAAATGGCCTTGCACGCTGTCTGGCTTTTGACCAGCAGTTCCCACAGTCTGTGAGCTTCCAGACACCACTTTAATGCATGTGACTGTAACATCACAACTTTTTCTTTTACTAGAAGTTGACATAATATGGGAAAGCAATGTGCTTATAGGTGTGAAGTTGTGCAATTAAATTTAAAATCATGACCAACGTTAAAATCCCTTGATACACAATTCCAGTTGGATGCAATATTAACCACACAGAGGTCTCTAATGCCATGTTGATCATGCTATAGACTAATAAAGTCCTTCTAAAAAGCTCAGTGTCCAAGGCAACCATCATCTGCGCAATGACTTCCACAAAGCAAGAAAACTATGAATGTAAACATAGATGTCTCTCCAGCAAGGTTTAACACACACTTTGGGCCCACAAACACTGCACTCACACATCAAACCCATAAACAAACACACACAAGCACAAGCACACACACCGTGCCTATAGTTAAAATTTATGAGGCATAATCTCCCCAGCCTCACATATAAACAAACTGTAAAAGTGAACACACTGTGATTGTGGGTGTATACATGTTTGAATGTAAACACACATGGGAGCGGGGAAGTGTGTGGAAGAGAGACAGACACAGAGAATTATTACAGTAATCATGCCACTTAAGCAGTCACACATGAAGCCTGAATGTAAAGAACACATAACTGGTGTAGAAATCTAATCTGGAGATAACATCTCTGAACTCACTCTAAATAGCAAAAGGAACATAAATAGACTGAATACAGTCTGTACATGAAAACCTGGTTCTGTGTGTGTGAGAGATAGAAGGAGAGGGAAAGACCTGATAGTTCAATACTTGTCTCTTTTCATCCCTTTCTCCAAAGAGACACCAGAGACTTTAATTACCTGCACCTGTGAGCACACAAAGAGCCCCACCCACCAATCTGGCTGTGGACCACACCCTTGTTCCCACGGTAACCTGCTTAAGACCCTACCACATAACTCCCTCCCTCCCGTATGGACACAAACACACACAAAAAGTCCCAAAACTGTACAAAGTGTACACAGACGCCAATTAAGGGGGTCAGAAGGTACAAGAGGAAGATGTACTCACATCCAGAGAGTCCTCGTTGACGATGATGAGGGACATGCCGTGCGTCACCAGACGACAGGAGTAACCTGAGAAACAGAAACAGATAGTGAAAGGTATAGAATGGGGGATGGCAGGGGGATTAGATTTACTCAAACCCAAAACACGGTTGAAAATGTACAATTGGACACAGCTATCTGACCCTTATTTATAGTTCAACTACATCATGCGCCAATTACAGCAAAAGAGAGCACCTCAACCACGTAAAGATTGGAAAATAAAAGACGATTTGTACTGAACAGTTTCAGGGGATGTCCCAACTTCTTAACTAAGAGCGTCAAGTATCTACTCAGAAATGTTAATTTTTCCAAGTCTTGTTTTTGTGGACATCTGCCACCAACTGCCTCCACAACTCCCAACAGAAACCCAACACACTAGCATCACTGCTGTGAAACTTTTAGTTCATTCTACCCTGGCACAATTCACTGAGAGATTGGAGACATGTCTGGAATTTCACAGCCCACATAATGCCTGCTATTCTTCTAAATGATTTCATTAACTTCACAATACATACTGTTTCTTCCAGTGCTGCACATCGGGCTGCAGTGACACGGGGACTTCCACACCATCGCTGAATTTGCCCACTTGACTGACACATACTCCTCTAAAAGCACCCTCATACCCGATAAGCTGCTCTTACTTTCCTTCTGCTTGCAGGATAACTGTTCTTCTTGTAACCTGTGTTTATTTTAAATGCTTTCACCTATGTTGATGGCAGTCTCCTGCTTGTCTCCAGTGAGGACCCAGATCTTGATGTCAGCCTTCATCAGAGTGGCAATGGTTTCTGGCACGCCAGCCTGGAGACGGTCCTCTATGGCTGTGGCGCCCAACAGCATTAAGTTCTGTTGGTGGAACAGAGAAGCGTGACAGATAAAGGGACAGAAATAATTTGAGGAAATTCAAAAAGAGAATGAGAACAAAATATGGCACAAAAGAGGAAAGTTGGTTGAAATAAATCATATTTAGGCTACAAATTCAGCCAGACATCACCAGCCTGTATGTGAGGGCTCTTTCTTTCTGAAGAACATCATCCATATCTAATTTGAGGATGAGAGCGATGCCAGCGAGCTCAGTTGAGTTGGTACGGCAGCTCAATTTGGACCTCTGTACCAACTCTGTGTCTTCGTGCCAAGATGTAACCCATTACCTTTCCTCCCCTTGCTTTAATTTGTTCAGCATTTAAATGCATGTGTACCCTCATTAGACACACTCGGACGCACACACAAACACTCGCACAGACACACAACTTAACACTACTGTGTTGTTGACTCCAGTTTTATGGGGCTTTTGGCAGGCTGGTGCAGGTAATTACCCTTGTGGTCTCCCAGTCTGAGCTCCCCTCCTCCTCCCACTTCCTCTTTTTTTTTCCCCCTCTTCACTTACTTTTCTCACCTCGGCTCTCTACGCTAAACCCTTGGTTTTCCCACCTATCAGTTCAACTCTCTTCTGAATATCCTCTCAACTGAGATCTCTGTAGTCTTTTTTTCACCGTTTCCCCCATTCAGGGCTACCCCTCTGACAACCAATACAAGATTTCCACAATGTCATCCTTTCACATTCTGCTAAAAGAAAAGACACACACCTTAAAAGGAAAATCTGACTGAGTATTTCAATTTATGGGCCTGTGATGAGTAATGAAGGAGCACCGTGTTTATTGATGGGTGGGACTCAATGGAGCCACTCTGCCACCTGCTGGCAAACATGTGTGTCTGTGTGTTTGTGTGTATATGTATGAGGAAAACTTTGATCTTTCTTCTGGTCACTGTTATACTCTAATCAATTTTATCTCTGCTACTTTAACTAAAAATAAACCTGCCTACAGAGAAAGAGATGGTGTGTTTACCTTTTCCAGTAGTTCATAACACTCCTCTAGTTTCTGTGCACGGTCTTTGAGCACAGTGCTGATACGATTGTATTCCTTCAGCCACTCCTGGTAGGCGTCTTCCTCCAGGTCCACATAGGCAAAACACAGAGTCCTTAGGCCTGGAGGGATCGGAGGAGGATAAGACGATCAATCAGTGTGATCATTGAGCAAGAACAGATTATTAAATGGGAATGAGTGTTTTTTCATTGGAAGTCTGAGAAGCAGACAGAATGGGATACACGGAAACAGTACAAACAAGTATCTTTTGAACAGAGAGAAACTCCCAACTATGGCTTCTGCTCCCTTCCTCTCCCTTTCTCCTTTTTCCCCCTTGTTCTTACCTTCAGTAGCAAATGCTTCCAGATGAGCAAGAGTTAAATCTTTGTACTGGGACACCTCAGTCAGACGTTCAAAAATGACATTATCCTAAAAAGCAACAAAAGAAATTCAGCATTAAATAAAAAATATTCACCACCATTCAGAGTGCTGAATTAAAATTATAATGAGATAAACATACAGCTCCTTTACAGTACAGCCGTAGCTTCCCGTCTGGGGTTCTGACCACCACAGACATACGTTTGCGGTTACTATAAAGGAAGCAGTGGCTTTAGTTTCAAAAACACACTACAGTCTTATATTACAGAGTATTTACTGACTGAGAAGAACATTTATGTGAGTATTACCTGGAAAACTCCAGCACGTTCAGCAGCTCATAACTCATCTCTTTTCCTCTCTGAAATACACAGTAAGATGTCAGCTCCTAACTTTGCTCCTAAGCAGCTATTACTGCAATAACACAAACACTTACAGCTTCAATTATGACTGAATGGGGGGTTCTTGCAGTAAAGACAAAGCCGAGTCCTTTGGCCCCTTTGACTAGCGCTCCTTCATCTGGCGAGGAGGCCTGGAAAATTATCTGGTCTTCCTCCCTCTCTGGGACCACCGTGTGGCACACTGCCATCATTGTCAGGAACTCACAGATTTGAGGTGATGTAGGCTGATACAAACAAACAGAGTGGGTATGGTTTTTTAACAACATCCTTTGGTTATTTTTAGGCAGAATAGGTTTGCTTCAAATGAAGAAATATGATTAAAAAAAACTTTAGAGACACCTACGTGGTTCTTCTCAATGTTTTGGATGAGAGTTGGATCATCAAACTCTGTAGAGTTATTGCTGCTGGATGGCAGATTGCTGTGAGACAAAAAGCAAATCATGATTGGAGTTATTGTAGAAAAAAAATATTTTTGCCATTAAAATAGCACTAAAGAGGTTGTGTCAATTCTTGTTCAGATCAAAGCACACACAGTACATTCATTGCCTCAAAGCATGCAGAGGCTAAAATGAATAGAAGAACATTAGAAAGCGTAAGAGGGTTGAGAAGGTCAGAGAAGGTTACCAACCTGAAGTCCTCCATTGAACGATCAACATCAAGATCAGGGAAGTGGCTGCAGTGATGAATGTGGTTGTATTGCAAAAGGAATCAATAAGTTGATGAGTTGATTAGTTCATTTGATTAAGCATGCAAGAGTTTAATCAAATTAATTAATAACAGTTAAGCTTTACAAGTTAGTCTAGGACATTGATGCAAAAGTGAATTAGTGGCTTCTGAGCTCATTTTCTTTTAGTAGGTGGCTCCATTTACAGATAGAGCTAAAAGGAAAGAATGAATCTACAAAAAAAAAGGAAAAAAAAAAAAGAGAGATGACTGACCCATATGTAATTCCAGCAATGGTACACTTCTTAAAGTGCATGACGTTACAGGTCAGAGTTCCTGTCTTGTCGGAAAAGAGATACTTCACCTGGAAAAGACAAACAATAAGTAATGAAAGGAAACGCAGCATGTTTTAACAAGCATCTAGTGTGTGTGTGTGTGTGGTGGTGTGGTGTGTGTGGTGTGTGTGTGTGGTTGCTGTGTGTGTGGTGTGTGTGTGTGTGTGTATCTAATGCTAATCTGGGGCATTCCTACTTTCATCCTATTGCCACTGATTATGAGGAGGAGGAGGAACTGACCTGGCCTAGTTCCTCATTAAGATTGGACGTTCGAGCCATGGCCGGTGTGTCTGTCTCTGAGTAGTACATCTCCACGTCCTGAGGGAAAACGAATACACAAATAAAGTCAACAGGACCATTTGAATAAGCGCATTTGAAAACATGCATTACAAAACACACATACCCAGTTGATGAAGAGGGCCTGTGTGAACTTGACCACCTCCAGTGTGACCAGCAGGCTGATGGGGATCAGGTTGTTGTACAGGATGATGAAAGTCAGCAGGTTATATGCAAAGTTAGTGGAGATATCACCTGCACAAACACAGAATATTCACTTATTTACACACCCTTAAATTCACAGGTTATGAAATGGGGTATGTGTGTGTTTATTCTCACCAGCCCGGGACAGGTACCAGCAGGCATCTTCTGTATGTTCCCTGTTCCAGATAGCAGCGCCCACAGAGCTGACTAGGGCCATGACCAGCAGGATGCCAAACAAGACCAGGATCTGCATGTTGGTCACTCGCTCCACGTTAGAACGCTTTAGCGGTGCCTTGGTGGAGTTCTGGGAAGGGGACAGGCCAATAAATACAACGAGTATAAAAAACACTTTAAGATAGTGCTGTATGAGAGTGCAGTTATAAGAGTTTCTCTGGGGAGAAAAGGTCCACTTGCAGCATCCTTTAAACACATTTGCCTCACTAATTTAATTGTCATACACAGCAAACATGAAACTCAGAGCAGCAAAACACAGAAAAACATTTAAATGTTTTTAGCATTTTTGGCAGAAGAATGTGTAAGCAATCCAAACACCGGGAAAGATTAAAAGTACCTCTCGGCTTGGATGTGCTCCCAGTTAAGAATGTCACACAGCTAATTAAAATCCCTATATAATATTCTTATGAAGTTCACAAGGAAAGGAGATTCTAATTATTAAAAAAAAAAAAAAAACAGCCTCCAAAATTCTTTGGCTCTTAGGTGTTTTGAAGACTTTTTAAAGCATTACACACAGTTTACTGAATTCAGACACGACACTGGGGTTTACCTGCATCAGTTTGGAGTCATGGCCAGTGTAGACAACAATTCCTGCAACCCACTGTGTGTTTCGGAGCTGGGCGCCGCGCAGCAACACCTGGTCTGGACCAAGAGGCGCTGGACTGAGGAGAACAAGAGAGGTGATAAGCAACAAAAGAGGCAGATTAAGGGCGACCTGCATTATGCTTATGCTTATGTTAATCAATAACTGATCAAGAAAAAATTTATTTGTGTGTCTCACTTCTGGTTCTCCAGCCGCAGTGTGCCAGTGAAGTCATATAAGTGTCTGTTGGGGCCTTCGCACTCCAAACGACCAGACAGAGCCATCAAATCCTCCAGGGTCTGAGCACCAGCTGTGAGTGGGAGACCCTGGAAAGAAATTCATCAAGTTAACTAAAGGAGGGTTTATTGAAGGAGAAATTTTATCAAACAAGATTATGACCAAGTACACTATAGAGAACCATTGTTCATAAAACACTAATAAAAACAGGAGATGAAAAGAGAACAAGAACCACAAGTAACATGATGCCACATGAATGCAAATGTGAGGATTGTGAGGAAGTTAGGTTTCATTTGATACAGAGTCCTGAAAGCTGATGCCCACATTTTCCCAACATCTTTTATTAATTTGTTCATTTGCATCCAAACAGTAAGCAAAAGTTTTAAATGTTTCTAAAACAACAAACTCTACTAAAACCTCAATCACTGACCTCCTTTCAGGCGAGCTAGCAGTCCCTTAAAATGGGTGACCCACCACATGATGAACTATACACATACTAAATCTAAATATGGTTTTATTTTAGGCATTATAGTGTTTATACAATACTTCCTGTCAACGACCATTTGCAGAATCCATCCATCTATTGAGAAATCTGAGTAACTGAGAAATTTTCTCCTGCATTGTACCTGTCTGATCTTCAGGTTGGTTTCTCCATCCAGGTTGGAGGTCTCAGTGTAACACATGGCCTGCGGCTCGCTGTGGAGAAGAGGCAGAGTTGCATCAAAATATTGTAATGCTTAAAATTATTAATCATCAATCAACAAATCATTTGAACATCATTTTGAACATTGAATAATCGATTACAGTATTCGCTCTTCAAAAATTACTTATGATTATGACTGGGTTTTTTTTTGTGCAATTTAAAGACAATACTTTAGGTTCCCTTTATATAAGGTAAGAATTCATTGCTACATTTTATATACTACACAATTAATCGATTAATCAAAAGACTAGGAAATGCATTGATTGATAATGAAAATAATCATTAATTGCATCCCTAAGAAGTAGTTCAACATGCAACAAATGAACATATATATCAACAGACACATACACAAATGTGTCCACACAAACACACACACACACACTGTCTGACCTGGAGGACACAATAACCATGTCAGCTGGAAGGTGTTGGCCATTGGTCACCTTCACTATGTCTCCTACTGCCACCTTGTGGCCAGGACGCAGCAGTGCAACAGCATGCGAGAGAAAAAGAGGGGTGTTAAGGCAAAGGGTAAGGGGTAATAGGAGGGGTAAGGGAGGAAGACAGAGAGAGGGAACAAGAGGCAGGTTAATTAGTGACTAATCGAGAGACAGCCAATAGAGTGAGAAGAAGACTTAAGATAAAGTGACAGTGAGCACAGCAGTGCAGAGCTGTTTTGACTGCGCTGCAACGGAGGCAGACTAGAATAGGGCACAAAGTTCCCAAGCATGTAGATAAGGGAGAGAATGAGGAAAAAAGGAGAACTTGAGGAATTTCCCTTTTTTCAAGGTGACATGGTACAATGCTGGAGCAGCCACAGCCAGTCAAACAATATTAGCCTTAAAACGTTTTTTAAAACTCTTATTTTAAGAACTTTCCCCATTACAAAGAAAGAATTACTGTATATGATAAAATCAGAAAACGGAGGTTTGGGAAAGTTTGTTGCGTTAACATCATCAGGACAGACAGACTAGTTTAAACACAATCAGTGTGCCACATCAGGTACGGTAAACCATTCAATCTAGGTCTTCAGGTTGCTGAGAACTGGAGCCGACTTGACAGACTTGTTTTCCCAGAGCCCAAGAGCGGAGATAATCATGAGTATATGATGAGCTGGGATCTGGGAAATGTTTACTGCTACATTACTTATGCATAAACGCACCTCTTACTTACGGGACTCTCCTTGCAAACGAAGTACAAGGGCACATTTAGTTGGAGGCCAACTACTTAGCACAATCTCACTTTAACCCAACCATTACTCTGTTAGCAAGGCAGGTCTGAACAAATCCATTCACCTGTTATGACCCTGAATAACAAGGGAGCTAAATTCCTGCTCCACACTTTTGTCGCCCACATAACAAGGACAAGTTTGATTTGATTTGACCTGGTGGAGTAAGAATGTACACAGCTGGACTTCAGTTAATGAGAACACTCTGAAGAAGAAGACCAAATCTCAAGGAAATAGCATTTGTTGTGTAAGAGCATACAGTGAACATGCATTGTACTATGACGACCAAGGGTTCATTTCACTTGGTTCAGACCAACAGAGAAAACCTATATTCATCAGTGCCTATGTGGAATACTAGACAAATCAAGTCCAAAAACAATAAACAAACTTAATTGTTATCTGGCCCTAAAACATCAATACTAATTGGATGAGTATCTTTTTACTGTCAGGGATCCAAAGCAGACAGATCCTGACCAAACACAGACTGAGTGACTACAGACTAGCCACAAGAAGAACATAATAAAATCATGGAAACTAAAATGGGAGAAATAACAATTTGATAATCCTATAGTGTCATGTCATTTTATTAGTATTTTAACAGATTTAGTTTTCTCTGTATTTAGAAGAAATGTGTCTTTTAAGCTTGCTTTTCCTAGATGCTTGACGTATTTTATGTTCAAGTATGTTAAACCTAATTGTAAAACTGACCGAGGTAGAAAGACAAAAGCATAAGAGTGATGAGTGATGAGTGAGAGAGCAACAAAGATGAGGTCTGTAATGATAGTGATACCTGTTTCCAGATGATCGTCTGCCAGGATCCGTTACGCAGCACTGAGAGACAAGGACAACACAGCAATCAGTCAGCCTATAGAGCAGCGCTCATACAGTATTCAAAGCGACTAAACTTTTGTCTGGGGTCCGCACTATAGTGAGTGACAGATAACAGCTATTCACTCAGCCATGAAAGGAAAACAAAACCCACACAAATAGACACAAGCACACTCATGGAAAAGCGCACAGACAGTTGACGCACATTAACAAGCACACACACGCAGATGATACCTGTTGTCTTCTTCTTGTTAACTGTGTTGTCTGCTTTATGTCTTTTCTGTAAGGACACAGATAAAGATGCATTAGCTTTTAAAATAACCATATGATGTCTCTCTCCTACATTTAAAGAGTTAAAAAGGTAGTAACTCCTGCCCATAGAGCAGGTGGTGCTCTGGTACTCACATAGTCCTCTATGATCTCTTTGATCCCGGCCACAGTGAGGATGAAAATGAGCGGGACCAGCGTGGTGTAGCGACCGGTCGGTGATACATCAGGGATTTGCTGATGAGAATGAAGAGAAGCAGCACTCAGAAATCATTACTGATAGTGAGTGTTCTATAGCTTAATGCACTCATAATGGACCATCACAGTGATAGCACAGATAAACATTAGTTGTTAGCTATTCAGAATAATCGGTTCAGGTAGCAGAGAGACATATCTGTTGAGACAAATTACACAATGTATGTGTGCAGTGTACGGTATAATGAATCCTTGATGAGTGGGCATGATGGAAGGCAGTTGGATTTTTCATAAGGCTCACACACACGAAAAATAAAACCCAAGTGCCCCTCTTTTCCCACCATCCATGGGAAAGAAAATATTGTCAACCAATCAGATTGTGACTACGGCATGGGATTAGTGATTATCTTCTATGATCAAATTCCTCCTTCATTTTAAATGTTTTTAGTTTAGTTAGTTTGTCTAAAAGCTGCTCTAATGATGAATAAAATCAATACGCTATATTTAATTGTGCAAATGACTAAATTAGTAATATCTAATAAACATGTATTGGCATATCCATTCTGGCACAAGCCTGTAATTTGACCCATTTGTAAAATATTAATTTCTCATTTTTATCTTGTATACTGTTCCTTCTGGCTTTCTGAGGATATTTACCAGATCTTAACTTTCACCATCGAGAAAACCACTCTCACTAATCTATAACTCAGTATTTCAAACATATCTGGGCCTGTGGGAATCCTGGTATGTTTTAAAACTGACTTTTCAGGATCTATTATCTAAAGGCTGTGTGGGCCACAGAATCAAACTGAAAACAAACAAACAGTGCTGACTGCTGTTGTTAGCACTTGGTGCGTGGGGTTTACCTGCATGAGTGCGATGAACAGGAAGAAGGCGTTGGCAGCCCGCCTGATCTGCTCATACAGAAATCGGGGCAAAAAGGTGAGCACCCCATACTTGGTGGTACTGCAGAAGAAGACAAGGAGAGAGGACACTTTATTTTGTTTACATGCAAACAGATGGAGGCAGAGGCAGGAAGTGCATTAGCAAAAAGTAGGAAAACAAACATGCATACATTGTATGCTAATGATTTTCTAACCTGACACACTCAAACAGCATTATGTTAAATGCTGAATAATAAAAGACTGTATGTGGGTTTGTGCTCAGAGAGGGCAAACAGAGTCATTATGGGCTGCACACACATCACACCTATAAATGGACCAAATTTAGACTAAATTTAGATCCAGAACCCCAGAAAATAGGTGCAAGAAACCTTGGCAACCACAACCTGTCTGTCAATCAACTGTATTGATCAGACAACTGTATTGATTAGCCTTGTTATAGCAAGGGGCTACCGTAAGAGCTTTTAGAGAGGCTAAAAATAAAAAATAAATCAACCTTTAAGTCAAGGCCTGCCTTGTTTTTTTCCTTTGTGGCCTGAGTGAAAAGTGAGAGCTTCTGCAAAAGCATTTGTTTAATGGATAGTGTGTGTTTGTGTACGTGAGTGCATCAAGTGCGTGCACTGAATGGCAAAACACACGCCTCAATCACAGTTCAAAATCTCCTTGGAGATGAACCCAAAACCACTTTTTCCAGCTGCCTAACTTACACAGACACTACAAAGAGCAAGACATTACACACAAAACAGAGTAGCAACAGCTGTTAGTCGGTCACTCTCTCTCACACACACACAAACACACACACACACACACACACACAGTCCTGACCCTTAAGCTCTGGATACCTCTGCGTTAGTGATACTACACCTATGATCCAGCAGATAAAGCTGCCTTAATCTAATCAAAGACAAGTGATACCAGGACACAGACGAATATGACACACACGAACACCCACATTTCCACTTGACCAGGCAAAAATAAAACCCACATCTGGCAGTGTTATTTTTCATACTATAGAAGTCTAACTTGCTGGTGGTGTTAACAGCTGTAAGCTGCAGGGGTGGTGCTCTCCTGCTGCTGTGTGGCTTTTTCATGTTTTTTTATAAAAAAGGTCAATGTTCTTCATACATTATAGGCTCAAAGAAAACACTGGACTGGAGTCAAAGAGGAGTAGGGTAGACATTAAGTTGAAAAATGCAAGTGTCTGTAAAGAAATGATCATGTTCAAGAATAACCGAGCAGGTTACTTGCATTTGTGCGCAGGAGAGTAGCCCTAATGTCCAGGTTGTATAAAAACAACTGCATACAATGAAATATAGAAGTGTAAGACCTAGGGAATGGAGAGGAGGTGAGTTGAGTGTACAGATAAAAGCTACAAGGCTTTAATCTCTGAAAAATCAATAAGGCTATTGAACCTTTAAAACATAAACTAAAGAGTTACAGGAACACAGGGACATCAAAGGGCATGCCTCTGGAGCCAGAGTGCTTTTGACTCTCCAATCAGCATGCAGCGCGGGCAGAACACCACACGTGATCCAATCAGATCAGCCAGGCAGCACCCGCCTTAATCTTATTTGTAGAGCTGAAATAGGCTCTTTTAAAAGTGAAATTGAATCTCCTGGCAATAATGAATGCCACTAACGACAAGCCTTCAACTGATGAAAACATGAGCCTAGCTCTCCTTATGGCGCCAGGCAGAGTTTGTACATACAAACAGGAATAATAAAAAGGTATAAATTAAGTTGGCGTCTGTCTAAATGAAACTCTAATACTGTTTGCCTGACTGCAACTTAGCATTTAGGACCACAACTGAGCCTATAAAATATGCAGATGACAGCTGGGATGATGTTGATAAAAGAGACTTCTGTACTGGAGCACATGCCATTCGGCTGTGCCCATGACCCTGGCTATGACATAACTACATGCAAGCCGGAAATTCACTCAGATGTTCACTGCTGAAACACAGGGGGCCACCAAGGCACACCAGCACAATATGTGAAATAATGATACTCTTATGAAGTATGGTCTAAGATTTGTAGTCTACTGCTTGCCTCAGCTGCTCAGACCACAGACAGTCATGACTATGAAAATCACACTTCCAATTTCAATGTCTGAGAAATCAAATCAGACAGATTTTATTCTCAGTGAAATCCAGGGTCATTCATTCTACATTGACCCCTGAAAATTTCTCAAACAACAAACACACAAACTATACCTTTGACCAGATAGACACAGCTTTCCGTAATTTATGAAAACAAATGTAAGTGTAGTTACTTTACGTTTATTGGCAGCCTTAAATATTCACAAGGACATATAGATTAGGCAATGCGACCATGTTAAGTTGTTAAGCCAGCAATTCTCTACTGAGAATTTCAAGGTGGACTTCAGGCAGTGACAGACTCGCCCCCTTGCAGCCGCTGCAGTTGCAAATAATCACCTAATAGGTGAGTTATTAAATACCATTATCAATAGTTTCAGCTATCCTATATAATTAATGTTAATGTAGAGCTTCAAAACACTTTCATTTTCAGTTCCTTTTTTTTGCTGCGATTTAGGGCTAAACTAAAAGAAAGAGATATCATTATAAGAGAGGAATCTCAGTGGTCCAAAGTCTACTTGTAGCACATGGGGAAGCAAAACATACAAAGTCCATTTAACCCAACAACATGGGTGTAAAACCTATCTGAGCAAATATCCTCATTCTTTTAGCAAGACACAGAATCCCTACAGAAAGCTGACCTCCCTCGAAAAGGCAAGGAGCAAAAAAAAAAAAAAAGTAGATAGCCTATAGTCCGCATGAGCATATCACCTTCTCATTAAACACAAAGTAAACAAAGATATATATATTTAAAGATGAGCAGAGATTTCACAAATCTGTTGATACATATATTTTGCTGGGATTAAAACTTCTGGGAAACAAAGCCATCTGCATAACTCTCTCCCTACTGGCCATTCATCTATTAGGCTTACTATTTATACACAGCTGACTGTGAACACCCAACGAAAATAAAAAATCAGTGCATACAAGCCAACACAACATGCATCACAGTAAACCGTGCAGTCGGTAAAAGAGTAGAGGGGACACCTACCTGACATGGTTGTCGCAGAACTTGGTATTCTGAGGCCGGTTGAGCAGCACCGTCCGCGCCGTGGCGTCTATGGGATCCGCCTGGGAAGTGGTCCCGGACATCTCATCATCTGCCTTGCGGTAACCGGCGGACGAACAAGCGGGTCCTGCACCGTTGGATTGATGGGAGAGAGGCGAGGCTGAGTGAATGCGAGTGAGAGACAGTGAGACAGAGATAGAGACAGAGAGGGAGAGGGAGTGAGAGAGAGAGAGAGAGAGAGGGAGGGAGAGAGAAAGAGAGAGAGGGACAGAGACATAGACGGGAGACGTGGTTTACAGTTCAAAAGCGAAGGCGACTGATGAGTACTAGAGGCTACTGTATGCTGATGTATGCTGAAGCCGGTAGGGACGATTCAATGACGTTTTCCGTTACAAACAGCCCCCCTTGTCTTTCCGTATTATTGTGCAGGTACCGCCAATGCACACACGCGCGTTTCGCGACGCCCACGGGACCCCCCGGCGTATAATGGATGTGCTGAGGGATGCACAATGGCGAACAAACACACCGGGGGTTGTCTGTGTTGTTTAGCACGTCAACTTGTCCATATGTAATACAGAGAAGACCCGGTGCACGTCGCGACTGTCATTAAGCTGCCTGTAGCTTATCTTTCATTTTTAATTTACTGTTTTGTTTTTTAAAGTGAGATGAGAGGATGCAACACGCTTTTTCTGCAGACTTCCAGCCTCCCCGCCCGCCTCGCTTTGTCATCTCCAACCATTTTAAAGCGTCGTGATCTCCGCTTATTCACCCACGCACAAGCTCCGGGAGCAGGGACATTTATCATCCCCGAGTGCCTCCAACAACGGGATACAATATGTGCACTTCTGCAGAGACACTGTGCGGGAGTGAGAGCAACGCAAACAGGTCTGGACGCCACAGTTTACTCAGCTGCTATAATAACGCCGAACCTGGGCAAGGACAGATGCAGCAGCGCGCCCGTGCGTCCTCCCTCCTCCTTCGGCCTCGCTGAAGAGGAAGCTCCCGGCCCTGGTGAAAGATACTGGCCCGCCAAGCTCCACTGCCGTGTCATCTGGCCACCTGCCGCCTCGGGAAGCTTTTATCGGGCGCGATTTGGACGATCTCCTCCCTCCAATTTGATGCTGGGCGGCTCACTGCTGCAAGTCCAGACAACGAGAGGGAGCCATATGGAGCTCCTTCAGTGCCGCTGAGGGGGCAAAGCCGGGGCTCCGCTTTTAAAGGGCCAGAAGCCTGATATCGCCTTAAGTCTTGTGGTCAGGCACAGATGGGTCAAATGACATTCCTGAGGCCGGAGCCATCCATCAGGAGATCACTTCATGTGGCTTCCCCTCCACTGTGATGCCTGAGCAACAGCAGGGTTCGCCTACAGGTTTCTGGTCTTCACATCTTGATCGTTAGTTTGCATAAATGCAGATAGTTCATGTGTCATGTGTAGTGAAAAAATATAATGTTATCTAGAAGGCATTTATCTGGTAGCCTTAGCTGCATTTATATGTCCACTAGTCCTTAAAACGTGCCTATTCTTAATCGAGTTAGATAAAATGCATCACTACACATCTCCTAAAATGGATTATTGGATTATTGGAATTCCTCTTCGGATACTTGTATCATTTCTTGGGATCTGTGCATGGCTGTCTGTGTGCAAGTCTGTGAGTGAAAACAACAACAGGCTAATTGCATAAATAATTTAGAAAAGAATAAGCACTGCCAGGGTTTAGCAGATTGAATTTCCACAGTCCTGAAACTCTATTTCTGCAGCACTACATTCCTACAATAGGCGGGTAATTCTTTCCCCTCATAAATAACCACAATTCGGTTAATATCATTATATTCCACTCAAGCTTATTGTTCTAAAGTAGGCGAGGAATTGTAAATTGACCCAGATATAAGCCAGCCGGGCTTATTTACTGGATGTGCGATCATCACTACAGATCCACTTTTATATTGAAAGAGACATTAAAAGGACCGGTGGGATGTACCGCTCGCCTTCCAAGCATATAGGAGAAACTTCGCTCACGGTGGACGCAAAAAGTATTTTGTTTGTCCATTCTGGGGGCAGGTTCGACAGAAGAGGCCTCGCTCCCTCTATACATAAAAACAGCTCATTCTAAGATAATGGAAACACAACAATTCTTATTTTTTAGGTGATTATACACTACTGAAAACAAACTTATAAATATTATATTCTATTTCTTCCAGTAGATCTTGACTGACTGATTTGAGTGCAACTGGGTTATTTTGGGTTACGTCTTTGTTTTTCTTACATTTATTAGAGTTAAACCTGTCAAGTTCCTTGACACTCTAACTCTGCAAAAGAAACCTACTTGATATTTAACACCGTTAAAAAATCCAACCTTTGTATAGTGCTATTTCACACCAGCCCACATAATGTCCACAGAAGGTACAGAGCAAGGGTCAAAGTCTATCCAAGCAAAATGATAATAAGCAGCCTATCCCATCTCTATATCTCCTGACCAGGCTATTACCTCTGGACCGAACAGAGCTATAAGTCACAATCACAGCTCAGCAATCCACACCACAAACGGCACTGAGGTCAGGATAACAAGTGATTGTAAGGAAATCAGTAAGGGTGGTACAAGGTTAAAAAGGTAGTGTAGGGCAATGAACTTTGTTACCTGTAATGTCACCTTTTACTTTCTGTTTCTCCTTCCATTTTATAGCTTTTGCTTTTGCTCTTGAATTATCTACTTTTTCCTATACCTTGTAACAGAAATCCACCTTTTAACCCCTCTAGACTCAACCTTTCTAAGCAGATCAATAATGGCTTTCTCAGCAGCCCACTTCAGCTCTGATTCATTTCTGAGGAGATCAATGCCTCGGTTACTCATCTCTGATGGAGTAGAGGCACAGTCACCTCCGTAACTCATTACTGACATGCCTCCAATGAGTCAGCAGCAAACCCCAGCAGAGCACAGCCAGGTCAATTACACATGAAGCAACTCAGGCTAGCCCGACAGGTACCATAGGTCTGATAACCTGCGACCAGAACAGGTAAGACTAGACTGATCCACCCTCAACTAACCCTAACCCTGCTCGCAAGATACTACCAGCTACCCATCTGGTTGGTGAGGCTCAAACAAGACTTGTCCCCTTTCTTAAGAACAATCCTATGCACCAATAATCAAACTTCCATCCATTATGTAGAGAATTTTAAAAGCCCTTTCCCTATCTCTCTACCACGAATACACGTGTCATTAGAAGCCTATTAAGCCAAACACATCTAACACAATGGGTAGATAAAATTACCTGTTCCAGTAAGCAAAACAAGTGAAAAATGCAGTGAAATCCATCATACATGTCTCTTGAAGAAGATGCCACCTAATCAGAAGCTTCATAATATCTTAAAAAGGAATACTGACTTTTTGTTTTGGGCTGAGCCCAACTGCCGTGGCTTCGCGCCAAACTTTAACTGTTAAAAAGCAGACTAGGCTTCTAAATAATTGAAAGCGGCAGGCTGCATAATTCATCTACATTTCCCAGTATGTCCAGAGCATATTTCACCAGACACTCTGCCAGGGTGCTGTGCTCCAGCCTTCACTCAAGGAACGACTCACATGTCACACGGCGTCTCCCTCAGTCAATTAGTACGATTGCAGAATTGTGTTTAAAATGGCACAAACATAGCTTTTGAGATGCTTACACATTTAATTAAAACATGTCTATTAGAGATGCACCATCTTCCAAACACCCAGCGCAAAGATGTGCCAGAAAGGAAATATCTACTTATCATACCAGCAGTTATAGTAGAGTAGCTACAATTATCCCCAGCTGCCGAAGCACTCCCACCCCCACAAGCCACATGAGGACCGATACTCTGGCTGTTACCACATTTTTATTATCCTAATAAGTGTCAAAACAGTGCATGTCAAATCTGAGTATATTGCATATACTGTGCTTATTTCATCCCAGCATGTTTTGTCCACCTCTCTTGCAAACATGACCGCAAAGTTTTTGGAATCATTCCCCCGTGACAGCAAGGTCTCTGGTTTTAATCCTCTAATTTACACAGGTGTTCTTGAGCTAAACACTGAACTAAACCACCTCACTTATTTCAACAACTTCAATTAAATTAAATAAAACATAAAACATCTTCCCCCATATGCCTCAGTCCAGTCCCCAATCACACTGTGTGGTCAGAAAAGCATTACCAACAGAGCGTTTTCTCCTTGGATGACCCCTACGTCCCATGGCTGTCCTGGTCTCCTAGGTGACCTGCAGGCCCTATTTGCCGATCCTGGTTGACCTATCCTCAAACGTTCCCAGTGGGTCCATTTTCCACTGTAACGGAGTAGGGAGTAAGGCAAGAAAGCCTCTTACGGGCCAAGTGAGCGAGCATGCTAATCCCCCCAGTGTCTGCTCTGCAACTTCACCTACTGCTAATCCATAACCTGATAATCCTACAGGTGAGACTACAACACGCACACAAACACGTTACACTAATGTATGCATATGCACATATACACACACACACACATTGACATTGTATTATGGACACACTCTCTCTCTCTCACACACAAACACACACCCAAACACAGGTGAGCATACATCTTTTGATGCCAGAGAACATGCAAAGCCCCAACATGCAGCTACTCCCCTGCCCCCTTTCTAAATCCAGCTCAGTCACTTGTGTGTCATATATGCATGCAGCAATGTTCATGACATGTACATGCTCTATTCGGGCACGCCATGTCCATGCATGCATGTGTTGTGTTCTATAGCATGCATATGAATTCACATTGAAAGTGTTGCTTAAAAACCCCGTTGCCTATTAAGCCGTCTTCATCAGCAGTCGGACATGTTTGGTCACACCACCATCTACAAGCACATGCAGTGAGGGTTGATTCCTGTTCAGCATTCATCACTCCAGGCCCCAAGGAGCTACAGATTATTCAGGGTCCACAGGAGGAATATAATGTCTTAACCTTTGCAGACAAGAACCAAGAGACACTCTTGTAAGTAACTGTCGTAGCTCTTGAGGGCCGGGGGTTGGGAGACACCTGCTGCTAGCCGTTGCGCATGGCCGCATGCACCTTGGGACTCCGGACACATATGGGCGTCATCCAGTCTAATTCGAGCAAACTCACTTTTGTCAAACCTGTCTGTGAGGCAGGCACGCATGGTAGCCCCGGTGCCTTGGCCTGGGTCCTGCAGTTCAGAAGCCTCCTGCCTAAGGGTGGTCAACACTAACTGCTCTGTGGGCGCCAGAGAGGCCGCGGCAGGAGAAAACAACACACACAAGACAACAAGTCAATAAACACATACCGCACACAACACATCCATGTGCCAATAACTGAACTGCACATGTGTTTGTATTTGTCTGTCACTGGAAGCATTAATAGTGAGATGAGATTGGTGCCTGAATGAGAAAGACCGAAAGAGTTGCACACAGATATGGACTTTGCAGCTTGCCCAAGAGTGCCCCCCTGTGTCCAACTTGTGTAAATACCTCCATGCTGCAATTTATCAGGCCTCTATCTCCCAAATGGCATCTTCAGTAGCTTGGCAGCCATGACGACCAGTCATTATCTTCCCAAAACAGATGTATTGTTGACAGTTAGCTGAGCTGCATGACTTGCATTAACTAGACAGACACATCAACACCACACCACATGTGCTCTTACATCTAAATACAGATCCTGTGTGATGTCCAGGACAATCTTACAATTTGTTTAGTTTTATATTTTAACATAGTTAAAACTAAAATGCTTTCTCAACCAATGTGGGAAAGGGTTCATGTGTGTTTGTGAGTACTCATGTGTAAAAGGTGCTATCAAAACACACCTGTTTATGGTCTTCTTAAACAAATTGTTGCTTTGTGAGAATGTATTTGAGAGTGTGGGTGAATGTGACTGATTGGTAGTGGCAGATGTCATTACCAGGGATGTGCAGTTCGCTAATTGGAACAAAGAATCAAGAGGTCAAGCTCCAAGAGATTACAGTAAAGGTAGAATAGAGACTGCTTTAAATATGGCGGTGTAAACAGTCTTATATAACATTTAGACCCCATTAAAGCAAAAGACTCCACTGAAGTTACTGAAAGCCCCACATCAATTGCTCTGAGACAAACAAGAAGAAAACTAGTGAATCTCACAATTAAAGCTCTGCCACATGGCCCGATCAATATCGCATAATATACACGACAAACAAACAAGTGACAACAGCGGCGTGAGTCACTTGTGAAGCCATTTGATATTCTACTTAAACAAGTGTTGTGGACTTTTTAAAGACTACACATATGCTTCTGCCTTTAGAAACCTGTGACTTTTCTTCTGGGAAAAATGTGCTGCCCCAGTGTGAAAAGACCCTGTGGTGTTTGTTTGTTTTTAACAACAAATAAATATGGGAAACTCTAGCCTGAAGACAGCGTGGCCCAGTTGGCGCTCATCTCTGCTCACATTTTGCCCTGCTTTCTATTTCTGGAAGCTGCATGAGGCATGCAGCAACACGCACACACACACACATATATGCGCACACACAAAACAGCAAAGCAGCCTGACAATATGTGCCAGTCACTATTAAAAGCCACTGGATGAACCAAACACATGCTCCTCTCTTCTAGGACAATCCAATCCGATGTCAGTTTGCCATGTGTGAAATCATCTGACACAGCCTTGTGTTTCAACATCCCCATTCTCTCTCCAGCTCCTTCTCTGGGGAGAATATGAGCTATTTTCTCCCCAAATAAAGAGTCTATAGACCCCGCTATATACAGTGTGTCATGGAGGGTTTATTTAAATGAACAGCCTCTAGCAGACACGGGGCCTGTGTCAGCCAGAGCCTGAGCCATCCCTCTCCAACACGTGTGTGTAAAGTACTGTGATGTGAATACAGGCTCTGGACATAAGGTGAGGTGAGATCCATTTCCGGACGGGCTCAGAATAAAGAGCGCTCTTTAGGCGGTCACGTGTTTTTTTTTTTTAAGTCGGCGAGGTAATAGGCTGTTCTTGTACTGATCTATAGGAGCTTGGGTTTTACATTTGAAATGCAAATTAACATCCACTTATATCTAGTTAATGTGTACGTAAAAGCATGTCAATGAATCATCATATTAAGGCAGTCAGCTCTTGTGAAAACACCCCATATGATGCGATTCAGGAGCTCTAGATACAAGAGGCTGTTGCAACAACATTATATAATACCACAGTGATGCCATAGGAAATACAGCACATTCCTTAAATAGTGATAAGGTCACACACATATAACATACATCACGTTCACCCTATCAAGAATAAACATGCCGTTATCTTTTCGTGATGTTAAAGCACAGCACGGGTCCCTACATGTATCTATATGAACATACCAGCTTATGCAAAGAGCAGGCGGTGCTACCTGAAGCAGACACCTGCAGTCTGCTTGCCCTTGCATCCTCAACCGGTGCCAAACAATAAATAAATAAATAAATGAGTGAGGCTGGAGGATAAATACCGGTACAGCAAGTCAACCCACATGCATGCCGCAGTCCCGGGCAGCACCGATCCCCCGTTGATATGCCAAGCACATACGCACGATTATATACAGGCCCTCTCCAATAAACAGGCCCATTATTAACACTCACATTAACCAGATTTTGCAATAAAAGGTCACGAATCAAACGGCGGCCGGAATCTCGGTCGAGCGAAGATTTAATAATAAAATATGTTTGTTTGTTTTGGAAGCTTACCTCCCTCGCTGTGTATCTTTTTGGCTCTCCGGTTGAAATACATCTTGCTGGTGGTGAACGACTGTCGGTGAGGCTGGGACGAGGAGGCCGGAGCGGTGGCATGCTCATGGCTCACCGACCGAGCAGGAGGGAGCTACTCCGGGCCCAGACTGCCGCTGCTGCCGCTCGGGGATCATTATTTCTCGGATGGACCGCGGAGGTAATGTTGTGAAGGGCAGCTGCTTCAGCCAGCGTCAAGTTAGACGGGAAAAGGAGTGTGCCACGTCCGGTCACTGCTTTCAGAATAAAGTAGGTTTAGAGCCTGTCAAGGGGGAGGGTTATAAATCTTTAGTGTTATTAATTAGAAATGAGACTTTTAGCTGTTATTTGGCTTTGACACATTAGGTTGATAGTATTTGGTTTGGCCACATTATGTAGATAAAATGCTACTTCATTAAAATGTATTATATATTATGTATATTATAATGTATATTATATTATTTTTTCATACTGTTTTTTATACTGTCTTTATACTGTTTTTTTCTCTATCCACTTTGCTGCTGTAAGATTGGAATTTCCCCATTGTGGTAACCCATCTTATCTTATCTTATTATTAATTATATTTTCTAGCCAAATATGCTGTATTTATCAAGTTCATATATTTTAATAGCTTTCAGAAATTATATCATTAAATATCCTAGGTGCCACAGTTTACTTCTTTTTAACATTTAATATATCAACACAATGGATACAAGCCAAAAATGAGGCTATAGGAAACATAGGGCATTTAAAGGAGTCACATTTTACTGTACATCTAAATTGCCTTCATCACTATATTATATTGACAATAATCTGTCAAAATAGTCCACATTACGCTTTTTGTGACACAATCAGATTTTTGTTTTTATGTTTAGCCAAATGAAAAAAAAGAGCACACATCCATGATCAAGAAGCATCCCCTTATGATTACCACATATCTTAATTTACATACCATGTAAGTTATTCACTTTTATCAGTTAAATACTATTTCTTTTACTCCTACTGATTTGTACTATTTGAGACACCTCTGTTGTGTTCTTTACGTCACATTAAACTAGAGCTGAAACGATTTTTGATCATTTTAATAATCAATTAATCGTTTAGGTTATTCGTCACGCAAAAATGCCAAACATTTCCTAGTTTCAGCCTATTAGTTGTGAAGTTTGTTGCTTTTTCATAGTTTTATTTAATTTTAAATTGAATGTATTTAGAGTTTCAACTATTAATAGGAACAGAATAAGATGCCAACTTGGTTTTATAAAACTACAAAAATGAATGAATGAATATTGAGAATTGATCAGTTGAAAAAATTAAGTGGCAAATTCACTGATGATGGAAGTAACTGCTAGTTGCAGGACTGCATTAAGAGAGTTCAAAGTTCAAAGAAAACTATCAATGAGCCTTTATTTTGAAGGGCTGATGCAACGTCAGTCTGCTCGTGTCCTGTTTGACTTTACGACAGTGGCAGTGACACGGGGGCGCGCCAGGTGCGTGCGCGCCCCCGTGTACAGGACGCAAAATATAGTAAATCACTTCAATGTGTTACTGTTGTTTGTGTGTTTGTGTGCTTTATACTAGTAAAATGTCACTCAAATATTTACAAACTATTTACACAAAAATAATAACTGCAAAAACAAAAAATAAATATGTTCATATTAAAATATTAATTAAATTTAAAGTTGACAATTACCAATTAAAAATAAATGAATAGAGTTGTGTTCCTCAGGGTCCACTTGTACATCTTGCAGCAATAATTTCACATTTGGGCATTTCCCCAAGTAAATATGGCAGTTTCTTTATGTCTCTTATGTTTTCAAATTCTGGGTGTATTTTTCTAATATAAAAGGAAAATGTTATAGTACTCAACTACAACTGTTATTCTATAATTTGCCAATATTTAGGACTTTATTTTACACCTCCTTATTATTCAACTACTTGCACAAACTGTATCCTTAAACTGCATATATTATATATATAATTATAAATATCATATAAATATAAATATTATATATATTTTATAATATTCTTATTTTGTGATTCTTTATTGTACTTTTGCACTAATGCTGCTTTGTCTAACTTGAATTTCTTCTATGGGGGATCAATATGTAATCTTATCTTACATCTTTAAAGCAAAATGGCTGACGCTAAAACATGAAGAGAAGAGTCATTAATCATAACAGTGACAGTTAGCCACCACAAGCTGATGGTCAAACCAAGTGGCTGTGCGTATTGAACTGAAGGTGCGTTTGATTATTTAGAAAATGCAACATGTCTTTTTGTGAGAGGTACTGAGTTATTTCTTCTTAGAATAGGTAACATGAACTTGGTTAAATATTAAAGGAATAACATTAATACACATGGTGAGTATTTAGCTACTCACCCCACAGGAAGTTTCACGGCGATAAAAAGCTCCAAAAACGTTCACAGAAACCTTTAAAACCCATTCTGCAGCATTATTCACTTCTTATCGATACGTTATTGGTTGAAAAATGTTGTAGTTTCGTTCAAAGCCCGTATTTTTCCAATAATAAGGATAACTACCAACAACCAGCTGACCAGTTGGCTGCGCACACCAAACACACACACATACCCATATACAGCAGATTTCCAGGCATAACAAAGCTGCATTTTATTCCATTGTTAAGGAGCAGAGAAGAAATCCCATGTCTTCATTTTATTACATAGTAACATATTTATCTTAACGGTTTCATTTACTCTCATCACATTGTAACATAATACATATTCATATTTCAAAAGTTGATTTCCATCTTATTAAATAGGAACAGAATAAATATTCACTTCTTAACCGAGTGGCCACAACTCTCTCCAAGTCTCCATGGTGGACACTAGCTTAACAGAAGCTTTCTGAGAACCAGGTTTACTGGGACCTTTCCTCCGCACCCACACACACACACTCACATGCACACACAACTCAACCATATGCACTTACCCCACTCTCACACAATCTGACATATTATACTGCATCATTCCTGCAGTTTTATTAGGGACATTTTAACTGCAGAGATGTTGTAGCTCCTGTGTACTGTTGTCGATGCACAAAGTGGCCCTGGTGGCAACACACTGAGTAGGTGGTTCAGCTAAATAATCCATCTATGCTTCACTAGAAATGTCCAATATCTGTGCACACTTGTAAAAAACAAACCATAAAAAGCGTACAGGAATATCATATTACTAACATTGCCTTGTTCGGGTGTTGCACTGGTACTGGAACTGAAATAGACTGCGACTGTGACTGAACTGATTAGAAAGAAATGTGTTGTTCACAGCTTCTCAATAGCAGAAAATGTAGTTTTGCAGTCAGAGCTGCAACAGATGCTCAAAACATACATTTTCCAGCACCTATTTCGGAGTTAGCTGGACAACTGGAAAAACTCTGTTATTTTTATTTTTCTAATTCCACGTTCCAGGTTTTTGCTTAGAAGATGTATCAGGCTAACTACGCAATGAAACTTCATGACACAGATCCCAGGGTGTCTGTCGGGCATGGACTCGAAACAGCAACAGGAAACATTGATTTCAGGGTAAACAAGACTTTGTTTTTAAGTGGAGATGATAATCAGGCATTACAATGTAAACAACAATGAACAGCAAAACAAACAATACTGTCTTTTCTCTCCATATTGCACAACTCATACTAAATTACAACTTTGAATTCCTGATTATCACATGCCTTCTGTATTTCATTTGAATTGTGCTGCTTATATGGTTAATGTCAATGATTTCAAAGTGGCTGATTTTTGTGGATGACGTGGATGAATTTTGTATTGCAATTATATGGGACAAATGTATGGAGAGGGCTTAACAGATATTACTAGACATACAGAATAAAACTCATTTCAAACTTAAATACATAGCTCATACACATCCCAATAAATCATACATTTCTTAACCAACTTTAAAGGGACACTTTAAAATGGATGCCAAAGCATTAAAATGGTCGATGTAAAAAAAAAAAAAAAAAGTCTTCCTACTTCCATTCTAAACAGATGGCATGTGAGGAGCATCTTGCTTCAAAACCCTTAAATATAAGCAGTGGTGGTTATTTACAGCTCATACTGAGTAAATCAAGTCTAGAAGTGATCTGTGTAGTCCCGTTGTGACAAAGAGACGTCACGTGTATCAGACATTAAAGAGTTAAAGTGAGACTAGTCAGCAGCGGCTACAGGAGCTCCTTAAGCATTAATGCCATTCATTGACATGGGCTCTGAAGCTTTGTGACAGAGACCAGCCAAACAGGTCACAGGAAGAAGAAAATAAAACAATAAGTTGCTGAAAACAAAGAGTCTAAAAAAATAAAGTTCTGTTAATTCTCTGCATTATATAGTTTCTTTTTTTCCGCACTTTTGGTTCAACCTTCTTCAGCTTCAACACAATGGATATTTTCAAAGAAATGTAACTATGAAAGCGCTATGTACATGCAAAGCCCACTTGGGTCTGCTCAGTTCAGCCAGCCAGGAACACAACAGTTGTGTTTGTGAGCAATAGGTCAGTCATGATGCACTGTGAGTATGGGCTGCCTGCAGATGGGGCAGGTGTTGTTTTCAGAGAGCCAGCGGTCGATACAGTGGATGTGGAATTCATGGGAGCAGGGCAGGCGACGCAGCTTGTTGCCTTGGGCATACTCATTGATGCAGACGCTGCATGCACGACCCATCTCGCCCTCCAGGCTGGCCTGACCATAAGTACGTGTGGATAGATTGTCAATCTGCTCTTTGGTCAGGCCCCTAGGGTGTTCATCATCTTCTTCATCATTGAGCAAAAAGAAGTGTGCCAGCCGCAGGATGGGTAGAGTACCATTTTCTACCAGGTTGTTGGTGTCTCTGCTGGAGGCCCGTCCCTCTGTCGTGCTCACCACCGCTCCTCCGAGCCGGGCCTGTCCTCCCTGGTCCTCCTCGCTTCCCACCAGCCCCACCCTCTCCGGATCTACCGCACCTATACCCACCAGGCCAGCTGCGCTCTCATTTGTATGAAGACGACTGGTTGGGGTGGTGGTACTATTTGTACCACTAGGATCTGTGTGGCTAGGTGCAACAGTTTCAGAGTCAGCCTCTGTCTCCATTAGGGAGCTCAGCTCCCCAAATCCGGTCATAATCTGGCGCAATATGGAGCGCAGGGCGGTGGAGTTGGGCTCCCCTAGGCCCGTCTCACTGATGCGCCTCAGTGGAATCCGTATAGTGCTCACATAGGTACGGATTCCAGCTCTCTCAGAGCGGGAGATGGTGCGTCTAAATCCACCACTGTCACTTTCAAATGTGACCGTATTCTCAGCAACACGTGCACGAGAACGCGTTCTACTGGCGATGCTGTCCCGGTCACGGTTTTCACCAGGTCGAATCCTTCTCACCTGCAGGTCCAACATGATGGTTGGATGCCGTCGCACAGCTGAACTTCCTGATCCTACTACATGCGATTCACTCTCGCGTTCTCCCGTCTCTACAGCTGTCTCTGTCAGAGCTGCAGGTTCTGCCACAGCCTCTCCTGTTTCCATGGAAACAGAGCTGGTGCCACTGCCTGGCTCAACAGTGTGCACGCTAGAACCACTGACACCACTGCTCGATGGTGGAGCGGCAGTGGCAACAGGTATTCTGTGCAAGGGAGAACGGCTTCGCCTTGACAAGCGGGATGAAACCCCAACCCCAGCTGCGGCCCTGCGTGCACGACCACGCGATCGAGTCCTACTGCCACGTGATTCGTGTCCCGCTGCTGGGGCCTGAGATACAGACTGGGGTGACACACGGGGACAGTCTATTGAAGCAGACATATCATCACTGCCCTGCTCTACTTCTGCATTGAGAGCTTGCTGTGATGGTGTATTTTGATCGAGGGGTGGGTTGGGAACAGTGGGAGGTGGTGCTAAAGAGTGCAAAGTGGCACCTCTCCTTTGAGCAGCAGTTGGGGTGGTCATTGGCGCGGGAAGTGCAGGAGGGCTCATAGAAAGGGTGGTAGTGCTGCTGCGTGTACGCCGTGTCTGCATTCTCCTGAGGGCTGGGCGGGGGGTGGGGTACGGGGTTGGCCTCGGCGTGGTTGAAGGGCGAGGGTTGGAGAAAGACGAAACCGTGCGTATAGAGGGGGAAGTTGTGTTTGGGGCGGTCACTGGCAGCTCTGCAGTGTCGGCAGCGTCATTATGCTCCCCCGGCTCTGGCTGATCGTGGTTGATGTTGATTTCCAGGCTAAAGCGGAACTCTCCACTGTTAGGGTTGGTCCGACTGACAGCACGCCATGTCTGGTTGCCACTCTGCCCACTGCGAGTAGCATTACCAGTGCGTCTGAAAGTGTTCAGCCACTCCAGTAATGAGTCACCATTAGAAGTTTCTGCTCCGGGCTCTGTGCCCCCTGTAACAAAAACAAATGAGACTGTAAACTAAATGTAAGCTATGTGTTCACCGAAAAATCTATTCTCTTGTACCCTAAGAAAAAGATTGATGTTCCCCAGTGTTCACTTACAACACTTAAGCCAGTCCGTTTCATACGTTCGTATCAGTCAAACAAGTTCTATTGCAACCTTGTTAAAGCTGATGCCTAAAATATTACATTAATTGATAATTGTCCTAAATAACGTCTGAAAAATGTTCCAGGGGCACTCAAGTTTTTATAAGCAAGTGCTTTGTAATAATCCAGTTTTACAGAATTCATGATGAAAGCTATCAGTTGTTTTACAATTCAGTCCTAAAACATTATGTTTGGCTTCTTCATTAATCAATAGGGATTTAACCGAAGCCATATGGCGTCACGCAAGAGAAAGCCAGATTTGTTAAGATCAGATAGAGACCCCACCCCCCTTCCCTACCTGCTCCTCGTCTCCCTCCAGCCACTCTCTCCTCTCCCTCACCGCTGCCTCCCTGCTGTTCTCCAGAATCAGCAGTCTGCAAGCGCTGCTCAGAGCGGGGCTGAGACGACATGCGCTCTTTTGCTCCATCAAGACGCTGCCGGAGCTCCTCGGCCGTCACCTCCCCTGTGACACATATGAACAGCAACAGTGGGTCAAGAAGAACTACCCTACTCCTATACTGAGAGCAGATTATCAGTATCATACACTGTGGCATTATAATTTGTAAACTCCATATGTTTAGAACATATTTATATAAGGAAAGGCCCGATTGGTAATCCCAACCAGTGTGTTAACATAGAAAGATGTTTCTCTCCTCACCAGGAGTGCCAAGCAGGTTGCTGTCTCTCATTAGGCGGTACTCCTCTTCACTCAGTTCATTGATGAAGTGATAGTATGCCTCCTCCCGTCGAAGACGCTCTGCCTGCCTCCGCCGTTCGTCTCCCCCACCAGGAGGGTCCATCACCGTGAAAAGTGCTGCTGACAGATGGGGGACAGTGTCATCTGAAGCTACCTATTACAGCTCTACATTCTGCAGTCACAGAGCCCCTGCAGCTGCACGCTTCAACTGAACATGCTCATGTCATATGTCATTACAATGTGCTGCTCGAGAACAAAACAAGCTCCTGATTATTTGACTCTCTCCTGGAAAGATACAGAACAGACGCTTTGCTCAGCTAACGTTATTTATATATAGATATATAGATATATATATATATATAAATATATATATGATACACTTCCTAAGTTGTATCAGAAACTAGAGCACAAATTGGAGCCAGGAGCTGTTCGGTTACCTTAGCCTTGCAGTGACTAATCTCTAGCCAAGGACGACAGTTAAGACAACGACATCCATTTTCTATCGAAAGGCTCCAGCAGTAAGAGACAAGGCAAAGCTACAGTAATCTTTAGCATTAGCCCGACGACCAGCGCTGTAAGTCCATCTAAATTAAAACAAGTGGATAAATCCTGAGTTAATTCACTGTGGGGAACAACCCATAGACACCCTAACAACAACGCAGCCTTCATGTGAGCTAATATTAGCCAAGTTACAACAAGCTACGGAAGGCCATGTTGAAGGCAGGGGGGGATGAAGCAACAAAACTGGCGTTGTCATCCTGGTTATCCACCAATCACAGGCCGAGTGTACGTGACGGACACGGCAACCGTCCAATCAGCGCTCGACGAAGGCGGGACACGGTGAACGGTCTCCTCCGTGTAAACGCAGACCAGAGGAGCAAAGACAAAGAATGGTGTCCGCTTTAACGCGCAAACACACAAGCGACGCGGTAAACTCCGGCAACCATTAGCGGCGCCGTCGCCCAGCACACAACAGTTAATTTTAAAGAGCAGTCGGGGAGGCGAGGTGTCGTTTTGAATGCGCAGCGCCTTTTTAAGTCGCTAAGCGAGCGCTAGCACGTTAGCGCGTCTAACATCAGCGAATACGAGTCCGTCGACAGTCCGGTGAGGCTGAACATCTCCGCGCAAATACCGGGGACGGACGCGTTAACGGGGCGGCCGGCGTGCACGGAGACTGACACACAGCCCCGGCGCGGCGCTACGAGAGATGACAGTGACATTAAAAGGAGTTTAGTACCTGACAAAGCAGCGGTAATATGGACGGTGCGCTGTGCTCTCTCTCTCTCTTCTCCCTCGAACCAAGATGGGACCAGTGGTGCGACGTCCCGCGGTCCGTCGGAAACAACGTCGACCTGGCTAACATCGGTTCCTAGGTTACGCTGCGGCTGCAAAAACAAAAAGCTGTGAAAGTTTTGTTTTCGCTTTGAATGGGCACAGACTGAGGGACAAACTAAGGGTCTTGGTAATTCACTGCGTTTTGTGACACTAGTAGTTTGAAACCTCTAAATGTAAGTTTGAAACATGTTGCTGGTACATTATGTAGTCAAAAGTCAAAAGTCAGCTTTATTGTCCAATATTCACATGGACAGACATATAAAGCTAATCGAGAAGGAAACGTTTTCCACTCACTACCCCACGATGAAACAGATAGCACAGGCACAACAGACAAGACATATTCCTAATACTAAAAAAGTAAACATTCAATTACACAACAGACAAGACATTTACTTGTCTGTTGTGTAATTGAATGTTTACTTTTGTAGAAGAACATCTTTTTGTAATGTCTTATGTAAATAAGACACTCTTTTTGAATAAGGGAGACATTTTTACAACTGTATTAATTATTTTATTCAACATTTTGAATGCAGGGCGTTTACGTTAAATGCACTGTTTTTCATTGTGGTATTGCTATTGTTCCATAAATAAAGGATTTGAGTTATTTACCATAAATTAACCTAAATCCTAACACAGCCTTGCCTCTTGACTTTAAAGTTGATAAGAAGTTGCAACACATAATACCAGGTGACATTATAATATATGAAATGTCTTACGGCTGAGCAGCATTAGTGCATCATATAGTGTATTTTGGTGCCAGCTTGATTCACCATATACAATAATAAAGTGTAGCCTATGCCCAAAATAGAAGTGTGTACTGACTATAACACTTATGGTGTTTATTGTTAGTGTTCAAGAGTGCTTACTTCTGTTTTACTCACTGTTTTATTGACCATCTCCTCTAAAGGTTGTTGCCTGTTTGTATTTCACACACCTAACGTTATGTTCATGATCAGCTAAAACAGCTTCTCCAACATCTTAATGATATGTTCATTCTATCAGTATTTCCAAAAGAAAAATCACTATAATACTCCAGCCTACTGGTATTCTTCAAGTGAGTCTGTACTAATGTGTCCTTGGATATAAACCACTGTAATGTTACAGTAAAATGTCCTAAGCTGATCATATTTTGTGGTAATTTGTAACCTCTTGATGATTGTATGTGCTGCAGCAGCTTTGAGATCTACATTAAAAACTACCTTTGTTTAAAGGATTTCTCTTCTGCACTTTAATTATTTGGCTATGTTACTACATTATAGCTGTTTATCCCATTTGATTCTATGAAAATAATTCATATTTGAATCTATATTGGGGTTTAAATGTTGTTCTAGTGGATTATATGTGCAAATAAACTTACCCTGTCTAATAAGTACTTCTAATTAGTATCATACCTTTAGTAATAACATACGTATAATGTTATTCGGAGACAAATATGATCTTATTGGCTTTAATCCCTTCTCATAATGAGGTAATAGGCCAAAAAAAACAGATTATTCTCCCATATTATAGTATTAAAATATGCTACAATATAGCAAAAGATGTATATTTCCTCCCCCCGTACAGCTGTTATGATTAAATTAACATAAACATGAGCTCCAGTGTGAATTTCCACGTGGTGTAATCCTGTCTACCCATTTTCTTTTTCCGCTCTTTCTCTTGCTGCAGGAGCTGGTCTCTTCACGACGTTTTACGACACTGCCGTGCGCCAATACGCCGTCGCTACCGAGTGAAGTGCGTCTCTTTGGAGCAGATACCGGCTGAGAGAGAAACGCAGCAGCAAGAGAAAGGAATATAATCGGGGCTGGTTTTCCACCTGGACTGTCTCCGAGCACCGCGCGTCCCCTCCGGTACTCACGATCCGACCCGCAAACTCGATGTGGACGCTGGGCTGAAGGAAGAAAGGGCCACGCTGGGGAAGGCAACTAGCCGATTTACCAAACCGAGCTCGTTGGTGTAGCTTAGTTGCCTCCCAAGCGACGCTTTAAAGAGAGAGAGAGAGAGAAAAAAAACCCCCAGAGCAAAGAAGGAAGGAGCGGGTTGCATTAAGCCCAAACAGAGGAGAAAATGGACTATGATTTCAAAGTGAAGCTGACCGGCGAAAGAGAGCGTGTCGAGGACCTGTTTGAGTACGAAGGATGCAAAGTGGGTAGAGGCACCTACGGTCATGTTTACAAGGCGAAGAGAAAAGATGGGTGAGTTGATGACCAGCAAGGCCTCGAAGCCAGTGAACCCTATCACCAGCCCCCTCCCTTCCCCTCTCCCAAATACATTTTAATTACTTCTCCCATTTCCCCCTCTCCTCGTCCTCTAACAAGCCTTGTAATCGTGTGCCAGTGGCAGAGGAGGCTCGTCGTTCAGGCATTTATGGACAGAAATAAGGGCAGTGTTTAGATTACCTGCGCTGTCAGAGTGCTGATGAGGCTTTAGTGACAAGAGCACTGACACATGGTTTGCCACTGGGATTGTGGCTCGCCTTCACTCTGTGCTGTTGTCTTTGTTCACACGTTTTTATTCTGTGTTGTTGCTCAGGAGTGTACACTGGTTTAATGTGGTGCAATGTACGAGGCTGTGTAGGTGAGTGTGAGATACAGCAGGTGCATGTGCGAGTTAGTGATCTCCAGGTAAATATCTCTACACCAGCTTGGTTCGATCATCACCGAGAAGGCCTGAAGTGAGTGGTTAAAAGTGTTAATTTGTAGAGGAATGAGGCACTTGAGAGCTAAATGTAAAGCCAGCAAAGCTATAATCTATAACATGCCTACACTTTTGGTGCTTTTATACTCCTTTTCTCCTGTTTTTGGCCTCTTTTACTTTTAACCTCAATCCTCCTTCATTCCCTTTTTTTTTTTTTTTAAGTGTTTTGTGGCATTTTTTGCCTTTTAGTCAACAGTGGGAGCGATGACATGAAATAAGGGGAGGGAAAGATGGGGAATGACATGCAGCAAACTCCCCCCCCCCATGGACTTTAGAGAGGTTCATGGTCACCACCTTAAACCTTGACGACACCTGGGTGGGTCATTTCTAAACCTTTTTTATTTATTTCCTTATTCCCTTTTTTTCTACTGTTTCTAATGCAATCTTTGAACAGTCTGAAGGAGAGCTGGAGGAGAGCTGAAGGCAGCTCTTGTGCATTATCGCAGCCCGGACATACTGGCAGCCGGAACCGCACAAAAGAAGCCTAAAGTGTTTAAAGATGTTTGTGTTCACTTCAGGAGACTGCTGTTTATGAGACTCTGTGAGCTAATTTGTGCTGCAGCAGTTGGATGAGGCCTGAGCAGGCACAAAGCATGGGTTTATGAGATGATTTAGGCCAGGGGGAGGGAGGGGTTGCACCCGATTCATTCAAGTGAGAGCCAGTCCCAGTGCTCTGTTTGTCCCTCGCCAGCTGCCAGACAGGGCCTGTTTCCTCTCCCCTTCTATTGTTTTGAGCCTCAGAGGTGAGCTTGATTACACAAATCTGGAGGTAATGCAACTCGGCCTCTTCTCAGACTCCCTGTGCCAGCTGCCAAGTGACCCCCTTTACGTTTCTGTGCAGACAGCTCTCAGGGGGCCCGCAGTCTGGTGTGGTGTTGATGTTGCTCTCCCTCTCTCTGTTTGTAGGAAGGATGATAAGGACTACGCCCTCAAGCAGATTGAAGGCACTGGCATCTCCATGTCAGCCTGCAGAGAGATTGCAGTAAGAACTGCTTGGCTTACTCTGTCCGTTCGTTTGGTCTCTGTTAAACACACTCATTCCGCTCCAAGGTGGTTTATGTAATGGCCGAATCACCTTTACAAAATTGCTTTGGTTAAGTAAGCAACAGACATACAATTAAAGAGCTGGAAACAATCACAGAAGTTGACACATTAGCAAATAGGCTTTAATGTATAATATCGTTAATCAAGACTATGTCCTAAAAATTAATACCATCATAATACGCTTTAGAGAAAGTGTTAATTGTTGCACATACATTTTATAGTATTGCATTCAGTTGTACAGGTGATAGTGTGTCTACCTTATGGTAATCAGCACTATAAATTCCTCACTTTTAACAGTTAATATATGCATTAATTAGTACAGTACAAATTGGCTATTTGTTATTCATGGTTTCTGCCATGAGAGTGTGTGTTCAGTGCTCTGATTGGCTCTGTGTATTGCAGCTGCTGCGGGAGCTGAAGCACCCCAACGTCATCTCACTGCAGAAGGTTTTCCTGTCACACGCAGACCGTAAAGTATGGCTGCTCTTTGACTACGCCGAACACGATCTCTGGGTAAAATGCACACACGCAAACACACGCTGGAGCTGCATGGCATGACTTAACAAACATAAAGCAGTCGTATCTACTGAATATGCAAAAATGAGTGGGAATGCATGTTGATACTTTCTGTATAGGTCATTTTTTATATTTCTTTTAGACCAACACACTCTTTCCATTTGCTCGTATCTGAGCATTTCCCCTTTTGAAATGCGTGACAAAAGCACAGACATTCACAAGTACAGAGTGACTCGTAGTGTAATATCTATACACACAAACACCATCAGCCAGTTGTATGGAAGGAGACTGAAAATGGTGCTAATTATGCATCGTGAAGTCTCACTAAAACGTAGACATACACCAAGAAGTATTCAACATTTGGTAGTCAAACCTCTGCTGCATTACGTTTGGCAGGGTATCAGAACAGAGTTTTTAAATGCCATTTTCTGCCACAAAGCTGCAACACTCACATTTCCCTCCCAAGGAAGTGGAAACACAGGCCACAAACATCAGCCTTACTCCTCCTGCCTGTAGCATACACTTACATTTGTGACCATACGAATGTAGAAAAGGACACAAAATGATGGATTTCAGTCAACATGTGTGCGCACACATACCACAATTACTGTTACCTTGTCTTTCTGTAGCACATTATTAAGTTCCACAGAGCGTCCAAGGCCAACAAGAAGCCACTTCAGCTGCCTAGAGGGATGGTCAAGTCTCTGCTCTACCAGATCCTGGATGGCATCCATTACCTTCATGCCAACTGGGTCCTCCACAGAGACCTTGTAAGAGGATTGGGGAAGGAGGGGGGCGAGAGAAAATATTTAGGTAGAAGGGAAAACAAGGCAACAGTTGATGAGAGATTGGAAGATTGTTATTTGGCAGAGAATCAAGTCAAAGGCATGTGAAGCTGTGTCGATCTGCATGTGTTCAGTTATGGCTCATAACTACCTGTTTTCACATATTTTAAAAGATTTGTGTGTGTTTTTTTTGGTCTTTGTTCACTTGTATACATTTGTTCTACAATATTCTATTACATAAAAGCTGACATTATAAATGATAGTAGTGATCTACAGGCAATGTATTAGCGTCCTTGTATAACAAAGGGTTCTGTAAAAGAAGGAGTTAGGAATACTCTTAAAGTAGTTTGTTTACATATTTTAACAGTTTGATTGTAATACAAAATCTGCCATTAACATCCTCTGACTGACAAAATGAGATGGAAATGGTAGACATTCTCTCTTGTGCGGTGCAGTGGGTTTATATCTCCACTAGAGGGCAGCAACAAAGTTTTGATAAAACAGCATATTTCAGCAACTGGGCCAAACTAATCTGAATTATTGTTGTTTCTTTTTAAATATTTGCATTACGGAATTGTTGGTATGTCTCTTGTCCCTCCTCAGAAACCAGCTAACATTTTAGTGATGGGGGAAGGGCCAGAGAGGGGTAGAGTAAAGATAGGTATGTATATTGTCTCCTCCTTAAAATGTTATATCATGTATTGTTTAAGTCTGCTCTTACTTTACTGACTATAATATATAATATCCCTGCAGCGGACATGGGGTTTGCCCGTCTCTTCAATTCACCACTGAAGCCTTTAGCCGATCTTGACCCTGTGGTGGTCACCTTCTGGTACAGAGCACCTGAACTACTGCTTGGGGCTCGGCACTACACCAAAGCCATCGGTGAGAACTGAGCAACACCATCTTTCCGTGCAGCTTCCAGTGTGCGAACGTGTGCATCGGCTTCGACTGACTTTAGGGAACAGCTTAAGTTAGTGAGTGCTCTGCTTTTCTTTCAGACATCTGGGCGATTGGCTGCATCTTTGCAGAGCTGCTGACGTCTGAGCCCATATTCCACTGTCGCCAGGAGGACATCAAGACCAGTAACCCATATCACCACGACCAACTGGACCGCATCTTTAACGTCATGGGCTTCCCTGCTGGTAAGAGTCCAGTGTTGCCAGAAAATGCTCCATTTAAAATCATTACATCATACGTACTGGTTTGTTATTCATACACCTGGATGAAGCAATTCAAATAAAAGGGGATGTATTACTTAAGGGAAATAAGTTCTTCTGATTTTCCAAACAATGTATGCATATTAGTGCTGTTCAGATGCTAGTGTATCAAATTCAAATTCAAAATGGAAGGATAAGCATTTTCCGTTTCTTAGCAGAGGCAGATAATTTACTTGGTCTTTTCTTGCTCTTTTTTCTTTAGGCAGTAATTTGGTCTGTGGGCTCTGAACATCAACTGACACAATAGATGAAGCCAAGTCACAAACATAGAAACTTTTACTTGCAAGGCTACATTTGAGCCTATATTTTCCAGTTCACTTAAGCTGCTTCTGATCTTCTTTTTTTTTCCCCTTCTACCATCTCTGCTCCTCTAGTTGTGCAACCCACCAGTCTGTCTGATGGATTTTGTTTTGATTCTGAAGGAAACCAAGCCTTACAAATTGTGCATCGGGGCAATTTTTACAATCCCTTTGCGATGTTTGGCCTTTAAAGTTATGGAGGTTTTTATTGAAAAGTGTAGAGATAATTGCAGTGGAGCAAGTAGTTTTCAGTTATATAAAAAAAACCCACAGATCTTAAACTGTAAGTCAGAACCAAAGCTCAACATGCTCTTGTTGTAATAAAGGGGTTGTTGTTGGTAACTCATGAGTGTTTGTGCTCAAAAAGATTGTAATCCAGACCCTACAACCTAAATAATCTGTTCTTGAAGGGAGGGAGGGTGTGGCGTGGTGTAATCCTGTCTTTCCCTCATTTGACAGATAAAGACTGGGAGGACATCAAAAAGATGCCAGAACACTCCACGCTGATGAAAGACTTTAGGAGGAACACGTGAGTCTGCAGAGCACCGCTGTCCCAGTTTTCTCAAAGATCAGAAACAAAGTTAGAGCAAAGCAAAGTGCTGTGTCTGCTGGCAGAAAGACATTTTTGAGTGTTGCGCACAACTTGTACCTAACCATGTAAAACCTCTGTGTGTTCTTTTATGGGGTAATTGCACTGAAGGCATGATATTGATATCTATTTGCTCCTTTTTTTTTATCACAGATACACAAACTGCAGCCTTATAAAGTACATGGAAAAACATAAAGTCAAACCAGACAGCAAAGCATTCCACTTGGTGAGTTTAAATGCCTTGGTAATAGGGCAATTGCATGTCATTTGCATAACTTATAGACATTATAGTACCATTATGACAGCAAATCCATGACAACCATGTAGCTGTAGTTTGGCTCTCCGTGACAAACGGAGCGTGCTTTGTCATTATGCCACTTCTATTAATGGTTTCTCGTTTGAGGCTAACATTGCAATTCAATAAAGCTGCAGAAGCTGTTGACCATGGACCCAATCCGTAGAATCACATCTGAGCAGGCCATGCAGGACCCTTACTTTTTGGAGGAGCCCCTGCCTACCTCTGAGTGAGTCACAGCGCACACACCCTCACATACAGTCTGTATCTCATGTAGTCTGTATATCAGTCTATCTTGTGCTGCTCCTTAGCTTGAGTCAAATGACCTAGGAACATCTACCACGTCGAACAGGTCCCTTAGCTAATTAGGTGCGAGTCATGGGAATAAATGTTTTGCGTTTTTTTTTCTCCAGTGTGTTTGCAGGCTGCCAGATTCCCTATCCCAAGAGGGAGTTCCTGACAGAGGAGGAGCCAGAAGACAAGGCAGACAAAGTAAGAAATGTGCCACATATTGTGTCATTCAACATGCTTATATGATGAATAAATACAGGTAAAGGGAAACATTGCAAAGAGATAGTAAATACACAATAGGGCTTCAGCACTAAAATGTACACATACAATACAATGAACACATGTACAATAGTCCTTTTTTATTTATAACTATTAGAAGAACCAGCAGCAGCAACAGGGAAACAACCACACGAATGGGGCGGGGCACACTGGCAACCCTGACAACAGCCACGCCCAGGGCCCGCCTCTGAAGAAAGTGCGAGTTGTCCCGCCCACCACTACCTCAGGTGGCCTCATCATGACCTCAGACTACCAGGTAAGTCTCTCACTCCCTCTCTCTCTCTAACTCTCTTATTCACACACATCATACAGTCACACTCATGTTTACTCATGATTTCTGAGATTATGAAGTTGCATTAGAGGCAGATTTAGCTTTTGTTGATAAACAATTCATTGCATATACAAAATTGTAGTAGAAGTGCATCTGTCAAATAAATTGTCATCAATAAGAACCAACTTGGGTGATACTGCCCTCTGCAGTGCACAATGTTTGCCCTCCTGTAAGCACTCAAGCCAGTAATCGGATCTTATTTGTTCCATGTTTCATTTTTATACCCGTCTTCTGTTTTTCTGTCTCATGCTAGCTTAGCATATCTGTGCGTCATGTCACAACCTCCAAATTAACCTTTAAACCATTTAACCAAGTGGGCACTAACATAAAAAAGTGTTTTACCAGAGTGTAGTTAATACGGTTTAATCAATATCTTCTTGTTTTCTTCCTCCCTGCAGCGCTCCAATCCACATGCTGCCTACCAGAACCCTGGACCAAGCACATCACTGCCCCAAAGCAGCATGGGATACTCCTCTACCTCCCAACAGCCGCCCCAGTACTCCCACCAGACCCACCGCTACTGAGACACCTCTCCCACACACATACGTACATACCTATACATACAAACATATACACGCATACACAGCCCTCACCATGCCCACCTGAACGAATGTACTGAGGGATGTGGGGATGTCCAAGGAAACAAACCCCCCCAACCCCACTTTGCCCACAGAGGGCACCTTGTCTGCAGCAGTCTGTTAGTTCAGAACAACAACAATCTACACTTCTTCAAGATAACACACCATAACCCCAGAATTAGAAACACTGCTTTAGAGCAAAAACACAAGGCGGGAGGATGAGAAGAATGGATACTGTGGTGAAATCCAAACTGTTTCTGTTACTCAAACCAGCCTAGAGAAGGTGGCTTGGTTTTGGGGGGGAGGGGGACACATGTTAACCTGTTGTGTCATCTCCTCTCCTCATCTTCTCCACCTGTGTCCACACCTCCACCTACGCCCTACCCCCCTTTCCCGTCGAAGTTTGGATGAGACTGAAAGCTGCTATGTGACTGCCAGCGGTGACAGATTCCCTGTCCGACTGTCCTCTTGTGTGTCTGTCTGTCTGTCTGTCGGTTGTTTATTTTGTGTGTGTGTGGCCCCGTGAGGGCCTCAGCTGAGGACTGAACTGAGCTGCTGTGAAGCATGCTGGGAGGATGCGGAGCCCCCACAGCTGTGGCATTGAGGGTTTTCTGAAAGGACAAAAAAAGATGACAAAAAAGATTTTAGTAGTTTATAATTTAATCTGTTTTAATGGTTTTGTTTTCATGGCAAGAGTGGCAAAGCAGCTCGCGCTGACTGAGCGCTCAGCTGCTGTATGCTGTGGGCAAGCCTTACAACATGATGACAAAACCAACCAATCGCATGGAGGATGGCAGATGGAACATGCATTGTACTGTATTGTATTGAAATATTTTACATGAAGCAAGTACCCTGACAATAAAAGTGGAAACATTGATATTTTGGGAGTGAGTATGTGCAAGCAGCTGATCAGTGATGTAAACGAGTATTCGACTTTTGCACCTTAATGACATCTTCCTTTCTTCCTTTCTTTTCTTTTGATTCACAAAGCTAGAGCTGCTAACTTTTTCTCAAGAATTCATGTAAATCGTATTCGCTTGCAGGAACTGCATTATGTAATTTTTGGAAGAATCTGTTTTTAATGGTGACATTCATCTTTATGCTTATAACAACATCGAGTGTCTGAGAAAGCTCACATGGTCATTTTTCATATTCTTAGCTGACTCATTGTCCTTATAATGGCTCTTTGATATGCTAACCTGAAAATGTTATTTTCAGAGTTTAGGACAGCAGACTTTAAGCTAAAAGCTCACATAAAGAAATATCCTCTATAAAGTAGGGCTGCAACAAATATTAAAATGTATTATTTGTATTTATTTCTTTTGAATATTGTTTTAATCAGTTTATTTTGTCTATATACAATCAGAAAATAGTGAGAAAGGCACTTTTTCCCATAGCACAAGTTGATATCCATTTAACAGTCTAAACCCTACAACTATTCAAAGAAAAGCAGCAAATTGTCACCTTTAAGAGTCTGTAACCAGAGACTGTTTTACATTTTGATCCGCATGAAATCTTCACGTGCACAGAAACTCGAGCTTGGAACAAAGAGTCATACATTGGCTGTGACGTCCAAGTATGCCAACATAGTCTTTTCTCTCTCTACTGCCCCACTTTATCACATTGTCACATACATGTGTGCTTTGGTAGTCATGTCTAAATCAATTATATATGTTAAACTGACAGCTGTTTAACAGATGCAGGCCATGGCTTACCCCCCTTGTCCTGGACTAGAACTGCATTTTGTTTAATCATGAAAAAACTCCCTTTCTCTCTCTAATAGACTAAACAGACCACAGTCTCTGCTCGCTTTCCCCTGCTTTAATCATCTACCTCAGACTGTTCTTGTCTACAAACACACCTGGGAGAGTAAAGCTCAGATCTAAGTATAGCAAGTCCTCCCATTGAACCTCTTCCTGTAGGATGCTGGCCCATCTATTTCAGTCTGTTATACAATACTATCCCAGCTCACTCTCAGCATCCCTGCCTGAAAGCATGATACAATCCCCCTTAAAACCCCCCGAGCTCGCAATATTCTGCTATTACTCGTTAGTTAAATAGGTCTTGCTGTCTACAAAATCCCCACAGGCCCTGAGATGAATTTAAAGCCCTTATAATTTTGACAGGGAATGGGACCCAGTTGCGTATAAAAAACCCCCGTTAAGCTCTTCAGCAACGCCCAACCGTAGCCCCGCCTCCTCCACTCGCAACACCGCTAACGAGCCGGGGAGTCTCCCTGTCACTCAAACCGTTAGAGACATCCCATTGGTTGATGAGAACGTCCGTCATGCGTTAAAGCCCCTTTTGCGAGATGTGATTGGTGGATGCGGCCGGTGGGCGTGTCCCCGTCCTCAAAGGATTTTCCCCGGAGCGCAGACGGGCTGGGGGACACAGGATGGAAGAGCTAATAGGAGTATCTAACGGGACATGCGGACGGGCTGATTTCTTCTAATATTTCAAGTGCTGGTGAGGGCCTTACGATACTTTTTACAACGACCGATAACACATGTTGTGCAAATGGTGAAATGTGTGTGGGTATTTCTGCGGACTGTGGTTTAATTTGTCCAAACTAAGAAGTCGAGCAGTGGACATACGCTAGCTTAAAGCAAGTGGTCAGCAGGAGCGGACCCCCAGTTGAGGATAATAAACCGAGTCCACCGTAGCCGAAACCTGCCTTGAAAAAAGCACATTTTTTCCCGCTGCTGGGCAACTTTAACCACATAATTGGTGTTGGTTGTGCACCGGCGTGTTTAATCAGTTTCTAAGGCACATAGGCGTGAATCGGCTGGGTTAAATGTAAGAATTTAAGATTAAAGCTGGCATCAATTCATGGGGAACCGAGGTAGATGAACAGATGTGGGTCAGTCCATCAGTAACGGGAAGCGACGGTGCGGAACAGTGATTGATCGCCATTAGTTCACGCCTGTGTGTGTGTGTGTGTGTGTTCCTGTGAATGTGCGTGTATCAGCCTGTAGGGAAGAGAAAAAGGGAGTGTGTGTGTGTGTGTGTGTGTGTGTGTGTGTGGAGAAACTGGGAATTTAAGGCATGAAAACATCAATATAACAATATAATACAGTTTTATTAACTTTAGCATGACATAAAGTAGTAAATACTGATGATATAATAACAGCTCACCTTCAATCAATCAATCAATCAATTAATCAACCACATTTTAGATTAATTAATGGACAACCTAATCTATAAAAAGGTAACACAAAACAAAAGGAGCTCAAAGTGAGAAATGTAATCTGAGTTTAAATATTTAATGTTTTAATGTAGGTTAAAAGACGAGTATAACTTCACTGATTACCAGATTTTGAATCAATTGGATTAATCGATCAACTACAAAATTAATCTGCTGTTCAGCCCGTTGTATCACCTTTAGGATTATGATAACTTGGGCTCATGTTTGCATTAAAAAGTCAGGTATTTGTATAAATGTAATCCTGCAGATTTGCTCAACAGATTAGAGGTGGACAGTATTTTCAGATATCTAAATATATCACAGTATGGAAAAAGTATACAAAATCACATATTACATAATTAAATTGATGTTCGAAACAATCAACCAAACACTTAAATCCTACATTTACTTAGTTTATAATTACAGTTCGCTCTGAATCAGTACATTTCTTTAATAACAGGGTTTATATTGTCATGATTTTAGGGATGTTTTGTCTTTTTGGCCACACAAAAAGAAGATAAAAGTTATGGCCGACTCTGTACCCTGTCAGGATTCACTGTTCAGTCCATACTTTCACCTTTACTTTGTCTTACAGGCACAGCATGATGACTGTTTCAACCTGCGTGCCCCTGAGTAATACTGGGACGTTCTTGGACAGGCACAGTGTCCCAGCAGAGTTTTTTTTACGTCATATTTAGGGCAGTGTGACCTGACGTAATCCAGACTGCATTATTCATAACATCAGAACAAGCAAAACAGCCTGCAACACAAGAAGCTGTACCCGGCTCATAAATTGGTAATGACTCCCCTTTCAGCTCTTAATGGAGTTCTCACATCTGTAGTAAAAGGGCTCTTCGGTCTCTGTGTGTTGCTCTAGAGATGTGTCTTGCCGGAGTCACAGCAGGAGTGTGTTTTACCCCAAACGCAGCCTGAACGTCACCCGTCAGAGGACCAGAGACATTTCTGCTGCTGATGGGACATTAGAGAGGCTACCTGGTGTGTTTGTGTGTGTTTGTGTGTGTTTTACATGCCTGAATGCTTAAGTGTGCATGTTGGCTTGTAATAAATTAAGCATCCGTGAACACATGACGAACAGGATGAGTGAGAAATGAATCATGAGAGGGAGAATCCATGTTTGAAAACACAAGCTCAGGCGTTCCTCTGTGGTGTTGTGGGTGAGTTCAGGCTGTACTCTCCCTTTCTCGCCCCTGTCTTTCTCCCTGGAGTGAGTGGAGGATGAAGGAGGAGGAGCACTCCGCTTTCATTGCGAGAGTACAGGGGGCCTTAAAGAAGGTCGAAGAGGAGGAGGTAGAGGAGAGGAGGTGGTAGATCCAATCAATAAGTGGAACATGATCATCAGCTGCTCTTTATTAAAGCTCCAACAACAGCTATTTGTTCAGAGTTCAACGTTCTCTCTATGTTTCTCTCTACGTTTCTCTCAACGTTCTCTCTACGTTCTCTCAACGTTCTTCTCGACCTTCAGGAAGACGGTCCTGAGCGCGCTCAGTTTTCAGACGCTTCAGTAGCAATGAGCTGCTGAACGCCATCTGTTTCTCGGGGTCGCTCGCCACCGCCTTCACAGCCCTCAGGCCGCGGGCGTTTCGGGCACTTTGCCACCACCGTCTCTTCCTGTTTGTAAGTTAAGCGGGCATCATTCATCATCAAACAGGGATTGGGGCGGGGGTTCCTCAGCGGGCGCCGTCCCCACGCCGTGTGCATGCGTTTCTGTGCTGCTGCAGGCCCGCTGCGGGTTTGAAGCGGGGCGGGGGCAGAGGTCGCAGGCGAACGGCCGCTCTCCGGTGTGGATGATGGACGTGTCTGGCGAGCGGCGAGCGCGCACTTCTTGGTCTTTGCCGCAGATGTTGGCAAGACAAAGCTCTGGCGGCGGGCGCTCTCCCGTTGGGCGTGGACGGACCTCGCGGTGTCTCTTGAGGGTGGCTGAGGCGTCTGAAGCTGGCCGGCTGCAGAAGTCGCAAGCCGTACGGTCGCAGCTCGCTGTGGCATTCAGCGTGCTGGGCTTGCCAGCAGGGACTTGAATTTAAAAACTTTTGCTGCAGATCGTGCACGGGGAACGCCCCTCTGCCGCCACCGAGCTCTCCTGCGTCCGATGGCGTGCGGCACCTCGTTCACTCTGGACCTTTCAGATGAACAGCGATACGTTAGGGCTGCTTCAGCAGTGCCGCTGGAGCTGCGCAGACAAATGCGCAGCCGGTGAGGTTTGTCGCCGAGTGGATGCCGGGAGTGGCGCGAGGGAGCCCTCGCGATTTCAGCCGCTTCCCACAGACGTACGCAGGCAAACGGAGCGTCGGCGGGCAGGCTGTCCTCAGCGTTCACTCGGGTTGGCGTGGACAGGATCTTTGGGTGGCGTTTCAGCTGGTATCTGACGGGCCGAACTTGCGGTGGCCACAGAGTCGCAGAGGTGCGGGCGCTTCTCCCGTTGTGAGTCTGGAAGTGGACGGCAGCTGGCGACCGGGGCATTTGAAACTTCTTTTGCCCGCAGAGGTCGCAGAGCAGCGAGCTGGGACGCTGGAGCGTTCCGCCGGCGCCGTCCACCATGGGACGATCTTCTTGTGTGCTCCGGAGCGTCGTTGGTCCTCAGTAGATTTTGGGGCAGAGGTCGCAGCGGTTGGGGAGGTTTCACCCCCGAGCTGGATGACCTCTTTGTGTGTTTTGAGGCGGGACCTGCAGCTGAAGTTTTACCGCACGACGGGCGCACAGCCACGCCGCACCCTCGCGCTTGCTTCTCCAAGCTTGGCGACGCACGTTGCGGTTTTGCCACGGCTCACTGTGGGCTGCTGCAGGTTTGTCGCGGCCTGTTGAAGCGAACCAGGCTCGCACAGGTGGCAGGCGAACTGCTTTCTTCCCTGTTGGATTGAAGGGGAGTGTCGCGCCAGACTGCGGACTTGTTCTTCCATCACTTACCACAAAGTCACACATAGTGCTGCCGGGCTCCCAGCTTCACCGCGCAAAGAGGTGCATGCTGGATCCAAGTTCCAGCCTGGACAATCCTCCAGACCCTGAAGGAGACGGGTGCAGAGTCCACACCTGGGGGCGAGAAACACGTGGAGGGTTATCAGGAGGGAGTGAAGAGGCTGAAAACAGATTATACTTACAGTTAATAAATATAAATATATTTATAAAAATAAAAACTTAAATATATTAATATTAAATCTACATAAATTAAAATAAACTATAAATATATTTAATAAAAATAAATATATTGAATAAATATAATATATTTAATCTACATAAATCTACATAATAAAATAAATATAAAAACTATAAATATATTTAATAAATAACATATATTGAATAAATACAGAATATATTAATCTACATAAATATATATAATAAATATTAAAAACTATAAATATATTAAGTAAATATAAAAACTATAAAATACATTGAAATACAATATAAAAACTATTAATATATGAAATAATATAAAACTATGTAATATTTTAATAACATATATTTAATTATTTAAACGGACATAAATAAATATAAAAAACTAAATATATGGAAATAAATATAAAAAAAGTATAAAAACTATACATAACATATATGAAATAAATAAAAAACTAGAATATTATTTAATAATATATTTAATATTAAAACATACAATACATATAAACTAAATATAAAAACTAAAAATATACGAAATAAATATAAAATTATAAATATATGGAAAAAATTAAAACTATGGAATAAATTAAATAATATAAAAAACTATTAAATACATTAATAAAATATGAAAACTATCAATAATAAATAATTAATTAATTATTTTCATCCACTTCACTTCCCTCAGGCTGGAGTCCAGGTGGGTCACCTGTGTCCTCTCCACCACCTCCTTCCTCCTCCTCCTTCTTTCCTCCTCCTCCTCCTGTTGGAGGTCGGAGGACAGGCAACGCACGGCTGGCGACGTTGAGTTGGTTTCGCCTGGTGGTGTTTGAGGCTCGGAGGAGGCGGGTCTCCTCTTGGACCTGCGACCTGGTACTGGGTGGGTTTGGGGGGAATGTCCTGATGGCGGGTTGATGGTTTGGTTCTGTGCGGTGGTGGTGCAGCTGCTGCAGTAGTGAGCGCCACCGCCTGGTCCATCAGGTCTACAGCAAAACACTGCAGCAGCATCCAGACGAGCTGCAGACGGAGGACAAAGGTTCATATCGTAATGAGCTCTTATTGATCAGGAGATCATCAATACAATATTAGTAGGAGATATTAGAGAGGCACGATATGGAACACTGTATTAATGGTCATAATCCTAATATTAGTTGAGCTTGTTATTTGCTCATTGATTGGGAGAATATTATCAATTACAAATAAAAGAGGAGAGGCATTGATGATAAACTTTACAAACATCAATAAACAATAATCAATATGTTGTTTTATTAATTATTGTTACTGTTGGCTGTCTGTCCTCCACACTTACCTGGTCTTCTGTCTCACCTGTGTGTTTCCATGCTCAGCTGCTGAGTCAGGCAGGTCCACCTGAACGGCAGCGTCCCCCTCTCTGCTGAGGTCACTCTGGCATGCCACCTCTTCCTCTTCCTTCCTCTGGACTCTCCCACTGACAGCCCACTCCCTTCTCATCCTCTCCTCCTCCTCCTCCTCTTCGGTCTTCAGCAGGAACACACAGGAGCTGTTCTCCTCCTTCAGGAGCTCAGGAGTCCAGACGCCATCTTTCAATCAGAATACACTGTATCTTTATGATCATATTGATTTTATATATAATAAGGATTATATAGGAGTATATATAACAGTATATATAACAGTAATATAGTATAACAGTATTATAACAGTATATATATATAACAGTATATATATTATATAACAGTATTATATAACAGTTATATATATAACATATATATTATATTAACATATATAATATATAACAGTATATAAATATATAACAGTATATATATAAACAGATTATATATATAAACAGTATATATAACAGTATATATAACAGTATATATTATATATACATATATATAACATATATATATATATAACAGTATATAAACATATATATAAATATATAACAGTATATATAACATATATAATAACAGTATATTAACAGTATATATAACAGTATATATATATATAACAGTTAATATAACAGTATATATTATATATAACAGTATATATAACAGTATATATTATAACAGTATATATAACAGTATATATAATGCAGTATATATAACAGTATATATATATGTATAACAGTATATAACATATATATAACAGTATAATATAATATATAACAGTATATAATGCAGTATATATAGCAGTATATATAATGCAGTAGTATATAACACGTATATATTACAGTATATATAACAGTATATATAACAGTAATATATAACAGTATATATAACATATATAACAGCATATATATAACAGATATATAGCATATATTATAACAGTATATATAAACAGTATATATAATAACAGTATATAAACGAGTATACTAATATAACAGTATATATAACCGTATATCTCTCTC